GCCGTATTTGTTTATATTACTGAGAGAGATATAGACAAATATAACATTCAAGACAGGAAATAAATAGAAGACAGAAAACGTTCCAAAAATACTTTCTTATTTTAAAACGTTAACTTGAAAAACTATCCAACCAAAAGGTAGTCAATAACCATTGGAGCGAAAACAAACGAAAGCCTTTTTTATTACAAAGCTTTGAGGTTCTACCAAAATCATTTATTACTGATAAATTATTCATCATTAGGAAAAAATAGTAATTGATCAAAGGAATCTGATATATCAACTCGAACTATTAACGATGGTAATATATTTTGCGCCCCATCAAACTCCATCATACAAATGTCAAGTGCACGTGAAAGATTAATAGAAATAAACATGCACATGATCTATTTCCGATACATTTTTTTAGTGTGACAAGAAGAAAGATTCTACTTGCATTCATAGTTATCATACAAATAATATATTATTTATAGTATATTACTCAGTCTCAATACGGTCTTTTCCTTTACTAAAATACAAATTATTTCTACGAAATTCCTAGTATAAATCGATATCCATAGAAGTAATATAAAGAAAAAAGCATTATATTGCATAGCAGATAATATTTAGAGTCAATTTTTAACGTTCTTATTATGGTATATACAGTATATACTAATATATTTGTATATATATACATAAATATACTGTATATATATATAAATAGAGAGAGAGAGAGAGAGAGAGAGAGAGCGAGAGAGCTCTCCCTATACTAAAGAGATACCAAAAAAATATCAGGTAATTTAAATACAGAATACATAGATTGATATAGCTATTAATAGTAAAGGTATACTTTTGTTTCCTTATTGTTTTTTTTATGTTCTCTCTTTCCTTTATATTTAAGTCTCAGCTATATATTTACTGTGAATTTATTCTGTTAAAGTAGTAATGTTTAACTTTAATATTAAGGAAGAATAGAAGAGGAACCTGAGTGTTTTCCTTAAGAAATACATCCCCTATAAGTAGCTGGAAAAGTTTAATCAACCTAAAACATGAAATAGGTTTAGCTAATTTATACGAATACAGCGTCTTTGTCTGAGAAGGAATTTGGTTAAGGCAAATACCTTTTCTATAATTTCTTCAAGGAGGAAAAAAAACTTCTTTACATGAAAAGAGTAGAAGCAAAAAAAAACAATTTAACTGACAGGGAATTTATCTTTTTCTTTATGCTTCGGCTATTCTGACGGAAAATTCTAATAAAATTTGTTTACTATACGGTTAGATTGAAAGAAAAGTCTATTTCATTTAAACATCATTAGCTTGAGAAAGCTAGTAAACATATTTCGCATAATACAAATATTATGTAAATGGATATAAGCTAAATAAACTGCAAGAAGTGTATACTGTTACTTCCTATATCTAGGTATTGTACAATTTCCAGAGAACGACAATTAGAGAAAGCAGAGGCAGCTGTAGGTAAAATTTAACTGAAAGTGGGAAATAAAATGAGACAGACAGTTTGGCAGGATTCTCTTGCTATTGCGGAGAGAAAATGAAGAGGAATAAACGTATTCTTAAGCAATATTAATAAATTAGCAATAGTGTTCTTTCAATAGAAACACACAAAAGTTCACAGCTGAATAGTTTAACAATCTCAAAGGAATTTAACATTTATATTAAATTTCTATATTTTGAAGACAAACACTAAATATTACAGTAATGTCAGTCGCTATTTGTGTATACGCGTCTATGTATGTATATCATCTTAGTTATTGTCCAAGTAGCGCTTCCGTCTTATTATCAATATTCTTTATAAAACCTGTCAATTGTCTTATATTCCATTCAATAAAAGTATTGAAACAGAGAAAAAGAAAAACTAAAGAAAACGTAACAGATCTATTTAATTTGTTTAACAAGTTTAAATTATAGAGTTTTCTATTACATTTGCAGCCTACTTTTCCTTTATCCTCTTAAGTGAAATGCTTTAGTACACTAATACATACAGTATAAATACGGCCTGTAATAATAATAATATAAAACAAACAATTGTTACAAGTAAATTAGCATCATCAACATTTCATTAAAAATACTATCAAAGGATAGAATTGGATAATGTTAGTAGTCACGAAGCATAAATTACATGGAGAAACAAGTCTAAAATATACTTCTTTCTTTTTTATTCTTAAATCAATCTAAAGAATGCGAAAAGCGATTATTCGTTATCGATTAATCACTTGTTCGGTTACTACTTTAATCAATTTATGAAAGGGAAAAAGTGGACGTTCTGCAATTATAACATAGCAATTAGATTCTTACATACACTGTTAACATCCTATGTAGACTATATACTTAAGTAAAGTTTGTTTTTCTTCTATCATACATTTAAAAGATTTAACTAGTTACTTATTCAGCCATAAACAAACTTAAATTCAATTATTTTAAATAAAAAATGAACATGTTGTGAAAAATTCATATTCGTATAAGTTGTAAGCTTTCAAGTAAGAAATTGAAAACAATTAAAAACAATTTTCTCATTTATATAAAAAAAAGAATATTCAATAATTTATAATAAACAGAAGAGTTTATTAGAAAAGATATATAAATATGTATACTGTATATACTAATATGTTAATATATTTAATATAAGTTCTCACTAAAAGATAATTATGTTTATAAATAATATAATACCGCTTTTATGCCAAAAAACAATTTATAGGTTGAATGTACACATCTTATAAATATTTAGATATTTAAATATACATATACTAATATACTATCATATATAATCATATAAAGTATTACCAAATACATATATGTATAATCATCTAGAAGGATATAAAATAAATAATCAACAATTGATTAAATATACTTAAAATATCTTTTAATAATGTATACTCATCATCATCTACTGAGTACAATATATTTTCGTACAAAGAAGTGTCAGTAGAAGAAGTTGTCAAAGCCTAATCGACTTTCTATGTTTTCCTTATGGGACAAAGAATTATCAAAGTAGAATTTAACAGTTGCTTTATTAGATTAAAAACTTAGTAATTTCTTTTCATTTTCAATGATATAAAATAAATTTTTTAAGCGATTAAAGAATAGATAAAACGGAAACTAACGGCAAGAATACAAAGAGGCAGAGTAGAAAAGAGAGAAGAACTATTTATTTTATTTTTTTTATTAAAAGATGAGAACTTTAAATATGTATCAGATAGGATTAAATTTCTTTTACCATCTAATGTCTTTAAGATGTCACAAAAATTATAATATATATATATATATATATATATATATATATATATATACTAATATATTTACTATTATTAGTAACAGACAAGCCTGATTTAAAAGATTATATATATATATATACATTAATCATAAGATTGGCTATTTACAACTTAATTTATTGTAACATAGGCATAGAATCTAGACATATCAAGGCGGAATTTAACAGCTGGCCTCCTCTAGAGCATAAAGAGCATCTAAAAGGTTTCTAATGAATTTGTTAGGTAACGTCATTACACGGTTTGTGAATTTCACAAGCAGATTATCACGGTCCTTTATCTTAATGGAAATTTTAATGCTTAAATTTTATCCTATTTTGATCTTACTACGAAAATTAGCGATTCGTCAACTAAAAATATTATAATCTATAGAAATATTTAATGAATTAAAGCATAAACATTGTGAACTTTTCTCCTTTGCAAGAAACTAGAAGAGCATCGCTTACGTTATCTTTTTACAGGAAAAGCACGAGCAGATACTTGATTCATAGAGCATTAGGAAAAAAATTTACTATTCTCATAGGCAAATATAGAATGATAAAGTTTAAAGATCGGGGTAAGCTATTTCTCGTCTTTTGCATTTGTCACTTTTTGCTTTGAAAGAAACCTTGAAGAGGTTTTTCTTAAAAATTGATTATCTCTTGTTAAAACAAACCTCAAATAGCTTGCTGTTGAAAAATCAAATCCTGATTCGACATCTTTTCTAGCTTCTTTTTTACCCTTTTTCCTGAAAGAAAATCTATTGACTTGTACTCTCTCCATCCTCGAATAGACTAATGCCAGGTTTTTAGAGGCAACGCCAACTGGCGGTTGAAATATTAAATAAATCTAATTTTCAACGAACTTGGTGTCTCCAATTTTTCACACAGCACAGCACATGGCAAATTAATGTACAGTAATAAAGAAAGACTAATTGATAATTTTGATAACGGATGTTGGGTGCATTATAGTCGATCAAACGAGCTTTTAGCATTTACTCGAAGATCGTAGGACGGTTTTGGCTATTGAAGCGAATGATTTTTCTGTTATCGTTTCTCAGTATAAAAAAGAATTAAAGAGGAAAGCAAGTTCTCGAAACAAGCCTCATAAAAGAGTACCTATTAGTTTTTGGATGGTAATCGCTCATTAGAAAAATTGCAAGTCCTCTTTATTCTCTTACTTCATGTACTCTACTTAAACACTTTATAGTGTTAAAAGGAAAGAGCAAGAGGATTCTTGAAGTTTTAAATTTTCGTTGGAGGCGTCTAAAGATTATCCCAAAACAGTCTACTTCTCCTTTAGAAGTTATTGTACTGCTTTTAGAAGAAAGCTCAACATTACCATAATAGAAGTCATGAATTAATACTACCGTATTTTTTAGGGGCTACAATCATAACCAATAAGGCTATAACAAGCTTCTATTATAAAGATGCTTTATTAGAGAGAGAGAGAGAGAGAGAAAGGAAGGGGAATAGGTAATAATAGGGTTAGCAGAAAAGTCATAGCGGACGTAGTAATAGTAAAACTGTCCCTTAACAAGATCAAAATACTTTTTGACTATATAAACATGACTTTTTTAAAAGAAGAATGGAGATGAAAGGATTACATTTTAACAGTAATATTATTAATATAACAAATTTGATTTTCATTTCTTTTATAACCATAAATAATTTAATAGAATCTTTATGAAACATTTCGTTTCACAAACAAGAAAATGTAAATCAATTACTATTTTTTATATAAAGTATTCTTTCTACTTACTTAAGAAATTTCATCTTATTTTGCAAGCCAGCCATATTTAATGACAAATGGAATTTTCTAGTTTGCCAATTACGTATTAAACGTTTGAGGATCATTAAAAAATATCTGCAATTAAAAATGATATATCGATAAATTTTACCATTTGTCGCTCACTAAATTTCTATTATTTTCCCATTTACCATTCAGGCAACACGTGCCTGATAGAAATTAATCGGATAATTGTTTAAAACTATACAATTTACATAAATATACAAATAGATAGGATAGTAGGTTTTCTATAAATGTTTTTACCCTATTCTTTATTTAGTGTTCAATTCTGTTCAAGCCTTTTTGTTTTTTTTTGCCCGGCTTCTTTTCATGTTTTACATCTAAACAACGATACGGAAAATTTTAATTTAGTTTAATGTTAACACTCTAGATGGCGTTACTATGCTTCCTTTTTTATCTATTCCTCGGCTGAATAATGATTTTAGTTGGATTAAAAAAACTTTTGTATCCGCTTAAAAAGAAAAAAGGGAGTTTAGGGCTTTTTATTATATTAAAACGTTTAAGAAAATAATTACTATTTATAGGTAAAAAGAAAAAACAGTGAACTTGTTGCTTACTTAACAAAGAGAGGGTCAGAAAATGGAGAACGTTAAAGGATAGTATTACTAAACAGTTTGCCCTAGAATTTACCTTATTCTCAAATGTTTGCCTGATGTTTAGCATCTTATGTTACTTTCACATTAACACAGACATCGTTACTAATTTTATTACTCTATTATACAAATTATTAGGCTGTTGGTTCGTATTTAGGTTTACTTGTTAAAAGTCGGTCGATTCAACTAAATTAGAAATTATATTGTAGTCAATAAGTAATTAGAAATAAACGAAATGAACAAATGAAAGAATGAATGAACGAATGAATGAATAAAAAAGTATAGAAAGAGTAATTGAAAAGAGTAAAAGTTGAAAAATAGAGAAAAACCCTTCAATATTTAATCTTTATTAAGTCGACATCCAGATGAGATTTTTTATGTTATATTTTATTCATCAATTTATAAATGTATGAGAAGAAACTATATATTAGATTATTATGGAATAAAAGAGAGCATTACGTAATATATATATCTATATATATATATGAATTTTACGATTGGCAGGCTACTTACCTATCAATAAACTTTCGGTACGTAAAAATAAATATATGCAAGTGTTAAATCGCTCTCACTTATGTTCCCTTTTATTAGTTTTCATTATATAATTAGGAAAACATTAAAGCTAAAAGCATCATAAATAATACCGTCACCTTACTCCTTTGATAATAAGTATATTTCCTTTTTTCCCTTTGTCTTTTATAATTTTTAGTTGTTTTAAGCTTAGTTATCTTCGGAATACTGTATCTCTCTCTCTCCCTAGCTCGCCCTATGTCTTTTGACACTTCACGATACCCCCCGCTTACATCCCCTCTGTCTTTCTCTCCTCTCGCTCCCACTCGTCCACACACACACACACACTTGACACCAACATACACTTTCTCTCTTTTTGTTACTCTCTTGCCATTCTTCAAACTGACTATAGAGACAATCGAGAAAATTACTCTTGAACGAAAAAGCACGAATTTGACTCTAGATTAAAATAATACCCAAATTACCGGTTGCTTAATTGGAATTGTGACGTCATCAATATAGAGCCTAATTGACAAGCAGATGCGTGATTTGCGTCGCTCATTTGCGCCTCTCAGTGCTCTTCTTTTGATGCATAATTTACAAAGAACGAATGCCAATTTTCATAGGATTCGATTTAGTGCTCGCTTGCATTATTTTGTCAGAACAGATGCAAAACTCCTAGTACATTCTTCGACGTCTAAACATTTCCGGTTAATTAGTATTTGGCATTTATGAAAAGGAAGGCGTCTTTCATTCAAGTGCACACTTGCATAATTCTTTATTGTCGTATCGTTAGATGTTACCTTTAAAAGGAAAAGATAAAAAGAATATTGCCTGACAGTTGGAATCTTGTTACGATATTTCCTAGAACTTATTCTGCAAGTTGAACGACTAATCTTATTTTTCTAATTGATTCCTTATTTAGTTAATAGCTGTAAAATATTTGACAAACATGCCTAGCTCGGGTCCTTGACTAGAGAAGTAAACACGATGGGCAAACAAAGGAAAAACAACTTCTCCCTCTGTTTACTAAATATAGTAGTTCCTGAAAGTTATAATGACAAGTAGGTTTATACATTGTTACGTATTGTGTTCATACTTCCTATACAAACTGAGTGCTATACTACTAAAACGGTACCTAAACATTATGTACATATATAGATGTCTACTCGTTGTGAATAAGTATAAACAATGTATATTTATGCAAAATTTGATAACATCCGCGACAAAGTAGAAAATCACTCTACATCCTTGCTAATGCATAAAAGATTATTTATACAGTACACAATAGGCCTTATGGATCGCTTACAGCAAAATTGTTTGCAGATCGAATTTGATTGATCGGTATATTTCAGTCGCTTGCTAAAAACAAATGCTTGACCCGAAACATATACTGCACACCGAACTGCCTGTGTTTGATTGATATAAATAGGGCAGTACCATTAACGACCGTATTTTACCACTGCAAAACATTGATTAGGCTTGGAAAGAAGGAAATTAGAAATAATTTGCAGTATGGCAGTTGAGCTACGAGAGAATATTGAATTCTCCATGGAATTTCTAGAGCCTTCCTAATCTTTGACGTCTGGTAACGCCTTAATAAGCGTTCCTCATCGATCGTCTTCTAGAGCCATATTGAAGAACACGTTCGTTAAGGGGCAAAGGTGACGACCTTGATAGAGCATTGAGCTGGTCACGAGCCGAAATACCAAAGAGGAAAACAATCTATTTCTTATGCTAATTAGTTTCGGTATTCTTCTTTCAAGATGAAACCGATATCCTAAGTGTATAGATAATCTTTACGGGAAAGAATAAAGATAAGTGTTCTTTTCCTTTTATTGTTTTACTTGACCAAGTCACATTCTTTTCTCGATGAAATAATCAATCTAAAATGCAATTTAGAGGTTATCTGTATACACGGAGGACGCCTAAATTCTCTTTTCGTAAATTTTTCTATTTGCTCCGTCGCAGCTCTTAATACCGACTCGTTTTACATTGCAGTAGCAGTTTGAACTCCCAATGGAAAACTTCTCAAGATTACAGTCATGAATATTGCGAAAATTCGGTTACGTCTTCTTTTCCAGTAATTTGCATACTTGTGAAAAGAAGAGTAAAAGGAAAAATTCCATAGTAAACCTGAATCAACACCGTATGAGATTGTGTTATGCAAACACATATTTGGTTCTTCTGTAAATATCCTCTCTTCCCGGAGGATATACTTAGGCCTATCTGTTATATGTCAATACCTTTGGGTGCAAGTTTGTTTTGCAGTGATAGCTTTTCGGTAAATGGTAATTAAACGTTTACAGAAGGCGTGAAAATGCAAAAATTCCATATATTCTCTTTTTATCTCCTTCTTTAATTTCCTGACTTTTTGTCTTTGATTCATCTTTGAAATTTGAAAGAGGAAAGAAAAATTCGTGTGATACTCAACTTCCTTCTCTAGTTAATTAACGTAATTCATGCGTACTTTAATAAGACGAGGCAAGGAAGAGAGGAAGCAGCAACCTAGTTATTAGGATTGTTAAAAGGGAAGTACAACTAAGAAATATACTCATTAAGTATTTCGTCTCAGTGGGAAAGAAAGTTGCGAGCTCCAGCCATAAAACTCTATAAAAAGAATTGCCTCATTCTCTCACAATGACAATATACTGTATTTCTCTGGCTAGTTTTCCAACAAATCCAATGAGTTTGGTGGTTGTTTAAAGAAAAAGGAATAGAAATTTAATAACACTTTACGAGAAAGCAATTTCCCTATAATTTTCCTTTCATCATTAGTCGTTCAATGCTTCGCTTGAATTCATTTAACAACGTTAAATGGAAGCAATTTGCTATTTCGTATTTAAATTCAATTTTCATTCGGTATTATTTCTATTGTATGAAAAATATTCATAAGTATTCAAATATCTAATAAAGAAAACACTTTCTTTTCTTTTATTATTGAAAACAATAAGCTTCCCTCACCAATTACATATTTGCGTGCTTTTTTCAAATGTTTTATTTAAATAACAGTATAACAATCGCTTTTGAATACATTGCTTTTTTTTCTCCCTTCATGTATATATATATGTATTATCTGGCCAAATAGCGTAGAAATCGTAGACAATAATACTTGCTAAATATCCTGGAGCGGTAAACAGAAACAATAACACACCTGGAATAACATTAAATAATTATTTTTAGGCCTTAATTCTATTTAGGGTCACAAATCGAGTTGATAAAAAAATACACCCTCTCTCTCTCTCTCTCTCTCTATCTCTTTTCCCGATGGTTCACCTAATTAATTTATCTATTACATAAAACTCTATTGAATTTTGGCCTATTTTATTTGTAGAGTAACAATTGACGAATAAAAAAAAGTTACTAAGGGAAAGAAAAAACAACACGTGAAATTCGTAAAGTAAACTGTTACAGTTATGCAAACGACTGAAATGTAACTAATGCATAGGCTTTTGAATAATTAAGGTCTCTATTGATTGCTAGCAGCCCAAGGACAAAAAGTCGTGTGTGTACATTGTAACGATCGAGTGATATCATAGATACTTAAATACGGCTAAGCTTTGTCATTTCATCCAAAACTGTACCGCCCACTTCTTATTTTATGAATGAACGACGAGTGTTTAGAAAAAATACATGTTGTATTAAATAACAAATGCAAACGAAGATTCATGAATATTTTAACAATCTACTAGAAAATGAGGCTACAAAATTGTAGGCCTACGTAAAGATACTTTTAGAAAATTGTTTATCAATAGTGAGTTTTGAAGGACTGGAAATTATTTATTAACTATTTTTATACACAGCTGCATTTATTGTTGGCTAACAAAGGCACGTAGGTTGGTTTACAGCATTGTACTATGCAAATGAGCTTGGGGTTTGTAAACAGAAAACCTGCTTCTGTTCTCAATGGTGAAGGCCAGCCTACGAGATAGAAATACAAACTGTTGTTTGTCACGATATATTCTGTCAGCGAGAACTATAAGGGTGAATGTGGGAAACGAGTTAACTGTAATAGTAGAAAAATACAATAAAGAGGAGGAGGAGTAAAAGGAGGCGGAAAGGGTGGTGGAGCGGGCGTAAATCTGTAAAACATTAATCAACTGATCAAAGTAAATAGTGGTATCGGCTGTTTTTGGCACGTCATTAAGAATTCGGATGTCTTCGAATTTTAAAAAAGGCATTTGTATATACAAACACGTTTAAGAGTCGCATAAAGAGAGGCATTTTTCGAATCCATTTGTTTCCCTTTGGACTATGAATAGTATATAAAACAGCGGTAGTTGCCGATAAACAAGTTAGGTTGTCTGGAAAAGCTGTTACACTTTCCAAATGACAAAATAATTACAATAAAAGCAAGGCGGCAATTACAAACAACTGTTCCAACAGCCTATCTGCCCTTTACCTCGGAACGTGACGAACGCGCGTGCAGGAGCACTTAAGAAGTCGCTGTGATCGATTCTTATTGCAGTGTTTTTGCAGTAAAAATACTCTAGGAAACAATGAACACTATTCAATAAGGAAAATAGTAGAGTTTATTGGCAAAACGATCGTAATTCCATATTTCCTCCTCCTAATCAGTCGAACAACTAATAAAAAGCTTAATTACATACGCTGAAAATAAATTATCATTAACTCTGTAACGTTTAATGACGTAACTGTCAACTCTTGTTAAGACTCTTCAGACAGTTTACTCCGAATTAATTAAAAGTGATACGTTCTTTATTCGGCTGTGTCGATCTCCTTTGGAGATAGCGTGTGTACAGCCTTAAAAGTAAACTTTTCAAGTTCTACCTTCCTTTACGTCATGTTTCATTAATTTTTTATAGATTTACCTTAATTTCCACCTGTACTCGTGGGAAAACCTCTACAAAAAAAGTGACGTCTAATCAATGCCGTTATTAGACGGTGCTTTCGAACTTGTAATACAATTTTTTTTCTTCGCTATTGTCTCCTACTCCTTCCCTTTAAGTAGACGAACAGATGTAATTTTCATATTGGTTGCTTTAGTCGCCCTAGCAACGAATAACACCTGTTTAAACTAGGTGGCGTTGTTTTCGCGCCAAATTGTCAGTCGACTGCAATGTTCCGCAACGATATATTGTGGACAAACCGAAAACAAGCGACTCTTGATCAACACGTGGTTATTTACGAAGAAAACAATTATGACTGCAAACCAAACTGTTATCATTTTTATATTCTAGTGTCATTACGAAGTCTACTTTGGACTTTTCTTTCTATATCGGCCGCTATCTTGGTGGTTTCTTCAACGCTCACACCAGATTGGCTAATAGCTCCTCCGTCAGCTCTTTCCGTTGGCAGTAATACTTCCGGATCCAAAACCGTATGGAAAAGGCAAACAATAGGACTAATTTTCCAGTGTTCTGCTAAAGTTCAATTCGATAAATTGTTGGAAATTTGTAAACCTGTACACGCCAACGTAAATTGGGCATGGAAATCTTGTATCCTGCTTTTAGGAGCTAGTTCCCTACTTTTAACCGTTACGGCAATATCGTCTGTAATTTCAATCTGCGTGAAGAGCATATGTAGAAAGAGCATTTTTACATTGACTGGTTTGGTGCAGAGCATTGCGGGTAAGAAATGCTTTTTGCCTTTAAAAAAAGAATTATGTAAATTAATATGAAGATGTATGCAAAGCACGGAATTCTTTAGGTTGCAGCTGCTGCAGATTTTGATAAGGTTATTTTTTTATGGTTTTATCTTTCACTTCCCTTAAACCAGGAGGAAATCCATGAATTTGTTATTATAAACTAATGAGAAATATCTCCAACATCTTGTAGTACCTTCACTCTTATTTGCCAAGTGTTATTCTATAATTTTAATCTAATCTCCCGTAATTTCATGCCAATTGAACCGTGCGAAAATCACATGAGTCTTTCAATGTTCAAAATAACTCAATTTAGTCCTACTGCGAAACCGTCAAATAACGAAATTAAGTAGTGCGTCCAATTCCGTAACAATGTTTCATTACTCGGAATGTTTTAAGCGCCATCTTCTGTTTTAAGTCCATTTAGATAAGTCTTATTAAATTTCAATTTTGTGTTGTTTGTCTTTAAAATAGGTTTGCTTCTCGTGGTTGGTATTGTTCTTTTTCCGGCTGGCTGGGGAAGCGATGCCAATACAAAGATATGCGGGGACGGCGTATCTCCGTTTTACGTTGGAGCTTGTCAACTAGGATGGGCATCATATGCCATTGGTTTAGCTACAATAATTATATTTGGTGCCGCCGCCTTATCGATGTATGCCGATAGCTCTACAAGTACAGATCAAGCTGAAAGGGAAATACTAAATGGACATAGATGTATTTGCTTAATCTAGCTGGGGAAAAGAAACTAGCGCATTACTATATCTTATCTACTTAGTGAAATTTTGAATATCTATTTTTCCATTTTATACGAGAAAGAAAAAGCTAATTAGAAAGGAAAAAAAACTCTGACATTTTTTTATATCAAAAGGAAAAAAAGAAAAGAAAGGAAAAAAAATTTCGTATATCTTAGATGGATCAGAAGTGCCAGAAGGATTTCTCGTTTTCCTCCACTTCTCATCTATCTCCTCTCTCTCTCTCGCTCTCTCATTGATATACATATACATATACAGTATATATATATATATACACACGCACACGCACACACACACACACTCCTCTCTCTCTCTCTCTCCCTCTCTCTCTCTCTCTCTCTCTCTCTCTCTTTTTCCCCTTTTTTTTATTCTTATTTCTTTTTGCAATGATTACTGTAAAGGAATAACAAGAGAATCTGTCCTATGATAAAAAAAAAACAAAAAGAAAGCTAATTATCTATGCAACTACAAATAAAGAAGAATTTTGCAGAATATAATTCACTAATCGATACGTGACTAAAATACAAGTTTACTATTTGAATAAAAACAAATAAACAAACAAGATAAAAACAAAACATAGGGGGCTTCTCTCTTTTTTTGTTTGATTTGGTTTAATTTGAGTTTTTATTCATAAATCGTTTTTGATTATTGTTTCAAAGTGTTTTTACTGAATATTTTGTTAATATTTTTATCCTTAAGATTTGATTTAAAAACGTTGAATACGTGACAATTTTTCGTCAAAGCGATTATTATATTAATATATATTTATATATTGTTCAGTTTTTTTTTTGTTTTGTTTCTTTTTTTTTGTCTCTCTTTGTTTACGCTTCGCTTTGCAATAGTGAATTTCTATGCCAATAAACAAAAAGCTTATTGTTCCTCTTTTAGCAGAAGCTCATTTTTACAAATTACCCTTTCCCGCATTTCGACAGATGCCGCTATTTATTGTATAAAGAGCGCCCTCTTTCACTTCAAACACTACTTAACAATGTTTCTTAACTTTCTATTTATTCTCATGTTTTTCAATAGGCTCGTTTTTTTTTCTAATAATGGTTTGTTGAATGTAAATTATTGATTAACAAGATCCTAAATAGTTTACAAATATATACATATTATGTATAATTGATCTATGGTAAAGGCTGTTACATAGGACTATAAAAGATTCAAGCATATTTACAATTTCTAAAAAGTTTCTCCTCTTTTAGAATAATTTAATTATACGTGATTTTCCTCACTTCTAACCCTGTAAAGTGACCAATTTGCAAGTAAAATAGAAAGGCATCTGTCATAAATTGAACAATATAGATAATTTCTAGTCTTGTTAAAAGTCAATCTAAAAATAGATTGCATGAATTGCTTATTTATATATATTACTAAGATTAATCATAATAACTATATATATATATATAGAATATATTTACCTATGAAGGAAATTTATGTATAGAATGCTATGGTAACGTACTTAACGCTTATTCCTATTCCACTCAATACTGCCATTCATTTCGAAAAACCGATATTCAACCTTTAAATAAATTTAATTATTAAGGCTAAACTTTTTGGTATGCTAATTATTTTAAAAATAACAAATAATAGATTTAATTCTAAAGCTTTCTCCCATCTCCCAATCGTTCGGCTTTTGTAATAGTTACATTTAAACAGTCTTAACAAACATATACGCCATACGGCATTCTCTGCTCGTTTTTGTTCAAAAATATATGTTCAATGTTTCACTATATTGAATGTACAACATGATAAATTGTATAGCTTAATGCATCTGACTTTCCCCTTCAAGAACTTCCTTTGTTGGTAGAGATTCGTTCTTCTGGTTCCTTCAGATTGACGACTACGCATTTATAGCTTAGAATTGATCCGAAAATTGCATGACACTGTAAAATTAGTCGATGTCCTTTGTCTGTGCAAAAAAAAGTCCTGCCCTCTTCGCTGCAAAGTTATTTCCTTATAATATCTTAGTAGCATTATTTTTGATGAATAGAACTTGACCAATTTATTCTTGATATTTGTGGCAAACGTTTCCTTCTCTCTCTCTCTCTGTAAAATTATTCATTCTCGGATTCTATGTTAAGTAGAAATATCAACAAAATTTAATCTTTCTTTCCTTCTCCCTCTGCTTTGAATAAATAGATCCTTATCATAATCCTCCTAGGATAAGTCACGATACGTAACAAAAAGATCACATTTTGGCAGATTGAAACAGTTTTTTCAACTCAAAAAGTTCACATTCTAGATGATTTTAAAAGGCAACTAGTGACATCTGTCGGTTTTTGTATAATTCATTTTTCTTAAGGATAGTATAAATGAGAATATAGAGAAAGAAATATACAGAATTTCTGTAATAAGAAAACTATATGTTTAATGAGAAATATAAAATCAATAAATTTCAAAATGATTATAAAAAACATCGGTGTAGGAAGTAAATAAGTGAATAAAGAATGCTTGGTTTTACAATGTGGAAAAAGATCTAAATGAAAAGATCATTAAGTAGCAATTTTTAACCAACATGATCACCAACAATGTCTTACTTCCCGCTTTTCAATCCACCAATATGTATTGCAGTGTTTATGCTGTCATTGATCTACCGCATTTAGTTAAAAATGCCAGATATTCTCCGCATAGATACAACTGTAAGAGTTATGATAGTGGAGTTGCTATGGTGGACTATTTCAAAGGCTTTCCAAGAAACTACTGGTTCAATCTACAGCTAATGTATCTGCTATGCTAAATCAAAGAAAAACTTTTAAAATTCCCAGTTGTTTGAGAGTACACTTTGTTTTCAGTAGGAATATTTTAACATGTTTAATTATGTAGATGATTTCATCAAATTTTTAGATATAGTACACTTTTGCTGATTTCGCAAGTTTTGCAGGCCATTTGCAGTAAAAGTTTATACGTTAAATGATAACGCATTTCTGTAGGGTGTAAGGTAACGTAGGATATTGTTTTACGTAAGTCGAGATTGAATATTGTTTATACAAATTCTTATATAAAGTCTTTTCGCAGAAAGAACGTTCAAATTATCAAGGATAAATTGTATCAATTTACATAGTATTATCAGAATTAGGTGGGTCTGATAGAGAATAAACTATGAACGAAAGGAAGAAGAACTAATAATAGTTGAACGTTCTTTTTTATATAACAATTATTTGCTGAAAAAAGGAAATTCATGTATTAAGATTGGAGGAATAAATCAGGTGAGCAGATATCTCAGCAACAAAATGTATAATATAAACATAGAAGTCGTTGTTATATAATATAATATAAGGTATTTTACTCGGATTTACATAGTATAAACTGTATAAAGCATTAGTAATAGCATATGAACGAGAATAAACGACTATTTCACTGGTATTTCTTTATTATTAAATGAAAACTTTTCCTTTTAGTTTTTGAATAGCTCTTTTAAAAAACATGGCATCTAACATATTTTATACAAAATACTACCAAGAATACTTAATACAAAGTTCCAGCTCTCTAAACCATTTTAATGAATACTTAACTCATCTACAACAGCCGTTATCACTCGAAGATTGAAGTGTGTAATGGATTGTATGAAATTTTATATCAATATAAGTTAACTGATTGTCAAAGTTGTCTTGCAAAACCTTTGTTTACTTGATATAGAAATGAAATAGTTATCATTTATAGTTATGCTATAGATTTATAGAAAAAGCTACAGTCTATAATAGATAAAGGTTTTAAAATAGAGATACAACTTGATACTAAAATCTCCATTTGAAATATTCACAAATCTCTTAGATTCTATATTTAGTACTAGTACTTTTTATTAAGTCAAAGCTAACGATATGATAGTATATTTTCTCTGAGGCCAACTTATTTCCCATGGAAAAGATAAATAAAAAGAAGGATTTTGTATCAATTAATTATGCGCTCACGCACACTTTCAAGGAAATGTTATCGTTATAATCTATTGCAGTTTTTGCTGAAGAAAAGAAAGTTTTTAGACGGCTACCAATATATTATCATTTTATTAATAATACTGTAAAATTCTTATTTTCTTTCTTTTTTTAATTAGTTGATTGGTTTAAAAGGAAGTTCTAAGGGAAACAGCATAAGTTCAGTTAAGAATTGTGAACCAATTGAATAGCTTAATTGGTTGTTGAGTTAGAAGGTTGTTATTTTATTCAAAGGAGATCAATATACAATTATTTATTAGTGCAGTAAGTATGCATAAGAATTAACAGCCTTTTTGAAAAAGATAAACAATTTTAATGCATGAACAATTGAGCTATTTAAGAATTATTACTCATGTAGCAGAGAACTAATAGCGAAGAAATCATATTGAAAAGTGCTAAATGGTATATCTTGATGAAATATATGCAATTGTAAAGGAAGTACTTGGTACTACTGTAGGCTGATAACAATAAAGTAACAATTTATATACTTTAAGAGGAAGTAACCTCTTAGTCTCTTGCAAGTCTATTTAAAGATGTAAATGAAAAAGAATTCGTCGAAGCAGCGAACTATTTAAAGAAATTGTTGACAGTATTTTCTTCAATATGACGACATAAAACGAAAATATACTCAATTGTGACTAGAAACAAGGCGTTCATAAATTTTTGAGTTGAATTCTTATTGAATCAGTTTGAACAGAAATACGCAGAACTATAAAAGAATTAACATCCTAAGGAAGGAAGACTATTCAATAACAAAGAGTTTCCGCTAAGATGTATAACTGCGATATGAAGTTTTTTCTTAAGGCAAACGCAATATCACGAAAAATAGGACGTCATTATATAATAGATCCAAATATTTCTCAATCCCTAAATCTGATCTTATAGTTCCATTCAATAGGTTAAATATTGAATTCATTAAAATTCAAAAAAATAAAAGGAGGACAATAACTGGAGATAATTTTGACTTTTGAAATATTCAATAGTGACATCTATAGTTCTTGTAAAACTTTTCATATTTTTCGCAATAATGAGAAATATATATTAATGATGAGATTAGCAAAAACTATATAAAGAAAAGAATATATAATTTTCCGGTTATGGGAGTAATGTTATTGTTTAGTGTTAGTTTAAGGATTAAGAGCTGAATAGCTTTTTATATATTTACATTATATTAGATATTTTCATAAATTATATGAATTGATGAATACTATATGTAAATAGTGTATTAAATTGTAATTGGTTTGTTGAAAGTTTAGCAAGAAACGTTTCACACCCTTCCTTTTTTCTTATATACATATACTGTATATTAGTATTTAAATTAGATATACAGTATATATAAGAAAGGACGATAAATGAGGGAGAATTATTGGATTAAAAGAAAAAAAATTGATTAAGAAACTATAGAAGATTATATATTGTATAGAGGACTGAAGGGAAGATATATATATATGTATGTTTTTTTGTGGTTTATTCTATTCTTTCTTCTTTTTATTCAATATGCCACACCTATGTTGATTACTAACTATACTATATTTTGTTTTAAACATTCAGCTATTTTTTCTATTCTATAACATTTCCTAATAGAATATGAAAACATGGATAATACAGATAATTAATGGCTGGTAGAAAAGGTAAAACGCCAGTAGAAAAGAATAAAATGGCGGGTTATATTTCTCCCTTTTTTTTCTGTACTTTTATTCAAGATATATCGCTGAAAAACAGAATTTCTAGTCAAAAGAATCAAAACACTAAACTTATGGGACAATGCCAAAAAGTATTTGATAAGTATCTCTATAAATTTTCTTTTTTCTTCTTCTTCTTTACAATCTAATAATCAATTCTTTTATATATTAAGAAGAAAATATGTATATATAGTATATACTATTGTGCATGATATATCCTTCGACTGTTAAAGAATCCCTTAGACAGTTTCCTGATGATTCATAGAAATAATTTAGAATACTTTGTTAAAGTGTTACTTAATTTAAAAAGTAAGGCTTTCTTATTACTTTCAAGGAAAACACGTAAACAGAAAGAATCGATTAATTTATAAAATACGAAGTATTCCCTTTACGAGTACTCACATATTCAATCTACGTCATCGTAAGATATGCTAATATATATTTCTCTCTCCTTCTCTATACAGTATACTCTACATATTCTAAATTACACTAATTATGAAGTCATTAGTCGTTCAAGACAACAAAGACTTATTTGAAATAAATTCCTATATTAAAAAATAAATGAATATTCATTAAATAGAATTGGCAAATCATTTTCTCTTTCTTTTTAAATTAGAGCACTTTTTATTAAAATAATCTTTTCAAAAGGTTACATTGAATATAATACGATAAACTTCAGTTTACTTTCTTTTTCCTTTCATGTCCTTCTTATCCTCTAATGTGGACGCAACCTATTCTCCAAATAATGCATCCTGTTTTTTTAAAAGAATTAAATTTGTATTAAATTAAATGAAATAGACATAAAATACAAATATATATATATTAATATATATATATATATAGTCTATACACTATATATAGTATATACATTAAAAAAGGCTTTTGTACAATGACGCGAATCTTGACTTTTTAAGTTACTTAATTAGTTATTTAATGTCAAATGAATAAGATTAAAATAATTTTCAATGAGTTCGTGTCTGTATGTCTGTGTGCATATGCGAATGCGTATGCTTATGTTTTTTTCTTTCTTAACGTTACAAACAATGAGGAGAGAAGAGAAGAGAAGAAAAGGGAAGGGATGAGAAGAATTATCGTTTCTTCCTAGTTTCATATCTTAGAAACAAACACTTGTGAGAAAAAGAAAAGAAATAAATAATAATTCTTCAATAGTCTACATTTTTTAAAGATCTTTATATTCTATATAAATAATAATGAACTAATTTTAGGATTTAGGATTAAATAGCATTTGACGTTTATATTCTCAGTTTGTTTTAAAGGTATATTTACATAAATAGATATTATATTCATTTCTTTCTTTCTTTTTGATCGATTAACAATCTTTCTGAACATAAGGAAAGGGGTGATTTATAAAAAGTTTGAATGGATATTACTAAAATAATTCAATTGTACAATAGAGTAATAGTGCACCTATTAGTTGTATAAATAAACAAAGTTCCAGGAGATTTTGTTCTTAACAAAAGAAAAAATTACTTGAGCGAATAAATTGAAATGTATCTTGAATAAATAAAGAACTTTTCGAATTTTAATTCTTTTACCTTCTTTACGTTAAATGGAATAAAAGATAAAAAATCTCTTCTACCAGAGATAAGAAATATAAGAAATACATAAAATAATATCGCAAGTACAGTTTGGAAATATTTTTAATATAAACATACTTTTGAAGTTTTTTATTTCATGGTCGCTTTCGGTCCTTTTCCTCTCAATAAGGTCTGTTCAAGTAATATATGAAACAGTTAACATAAAAAGTTATACAGTCTATATATAGGTATAAATTAATAATACCCTTTCTGTCGCTGTTTTCAAGAAGTCGCTTAACGAGTTGTCCAAGTCTTTGAAGATCCGTATCTTCTGCTAAAGAAAAAAATTTAAAGAAATTATTAAATTAGTGTAAATAGCGCTTTAAGAGTGAATAAACTAAGTTTTAATACCTGACGTCTCGTATGTTCTGACTAGACAACAAACCAAACACAAAGCGGTTATCAGAATCAATATACTGCGCATATTTCGTTTATGGTCGTCTTTTAGCCAACAGAAATTTCCAAATGCTTACAAGTCGTTAAGGATTAACAGTGGCCTTGCATTCAGTGCTGCCCCCCTCCCCCCAAAGCCTTTAGCCATTAGCATACTTAAATAAATTTCTCAAAGGTTTTATATATTGAGAAGACACTAATATGAAAGAAGAAAAAAAATCCCAGCTTGAATAATAAACTCTATTTATGAAAATTATTCAATAGAAAATGCTAAAGCATTTCTTGAATATTCAAGAGAAATCACAATATTTCTGTTAATTTTTATTTATATACTTCGAAAGAAAAACGTTTCCCCTTCTTCCTAACAATTTTTCACCTTTAAAGGACACTTTGAACGTCTTTGGCAGAAAGAGTTTACAAGGTATTTTAATAAAAGGTAAATTAATAGCAATAGAATAAGTAGTAGTAAGAAAATAAAGAGAAAAACATCAATAAGAAGATACTTGTAAAGTGGCATGATCTGACCATAACTTTTTACATTATAATCACCAAATATTAATAAATTTTCTAATCTATTTGCAAGACTTTGCATATCAATTGTAGATTGTTTTTGAGCAAATCTCTTCATTTTTTCAACAGTTGTCTTCATTGAATTATTATGAATTATTTCAAATATTCTCTCTTGAAGGCTATCTTTACTTAATTCATGTAAATAAATAAAATTTCCAAAACCGTAATATTTTACTCTAATAGCGTTATGCTCTTGATCTCCAAATATCGGAATGCATAGGATTGGTTTACCGTAATAAAGAGCTTCGGCTTGGCTATTGTGTCCGGCGTGACTGATGAACATTACAATCTTGTCATTCGCTAAAAGATCTTTTTGAGGAAGCCAGTCAAATAATTTCACATTGGGCGGAATTACAATTGGAAAGTCCAGTTTTACGGACCAAATAAATAAGAGATTCTTCATTTCGCCAAAACTCTTGAGAAATAACTGAGCTAAAGACGATGGAAAAAGACCACCAAAACTGCCAAAAGAGACCAATACTATCTTCTTTTCTTTATTCTGAGCTAAAATCTTTTCAAGATTATCCGTTAAATTTCCACTAGGTCTTAAAGTTAGCCCATATACTTGAAAAACATTCGGCCATACAGGTGTAGGATATTGCAATGGAGAACCCCTTATTACAATGAACAGTTTCGATTTGGCGACTAATTCCTCCCAGCTGCGAACATCGTTTCCGTGTGAGTAACGTCTTAGTAACGTCTTATCTTCGGTTGGCAGTAAAAATTGTACAAGAAAATTGGTTCTTAGACAAATATCTAAAAATAGATTGCGAATTCTTTGAGAAAAAGTCATAGCTTCCGTAAATGGACTAAATAGATTTGGACTAAACGACGGTAGCGCCAAAATCCTTAATGCAGGATCCGAGACAAAATTAGTCACAGTAATAAAAGGTATATCAAAATGATAAGGAATAATATGATGATATCTTGATAATATTACACCATCCATTATGGCGAGATCAAATTTGAAACGTTTAATTTTCTCCATGAGATTCCTATCATTTAACATGGCAACAGTTTCATTAAAGACATATCTTGAAAGAACTTCTTCTTGACTAACAAGTTTTCCATTTACAGCACCATTAAGACAACTTTTAAAGAAAGTTCTCGTTGAATTTTCAAAGTTCTTTTCTATATCATTATCTAAGGGTTCGTAGGTCCAAACCTATAAGTAATTAACAGTTATAATTTGTATTGTTTTGGCTTGTGTTAGGCCTATGCAAATGTAGTATATACGTATACTTCCCGTACCTTTATTCTATCCATGTAGCCTTTAATTTTATTTGGGGCAAAATTCGATTTTAAAACTCCCACAACCTGTTTAATTTTTCATTCATTAATTAATTGGGTCTTTTTTTATATATATACTAATATAACTATTAAAATCACCTCGTGTCCGTTCTTGGCCATTTCATCTCCAATACTCCACACCATCATGATATGAGAGGCTGGAATATGGTTGGAAAGGAGCAAGATTTTTGCAGAATTTACTATTGTAGTGCATGATAATGTGATAAAGACAAAAAGAAAAGTATATTTAATATGATCGTTGTTTCGTTTTATACGCATGAATGTAAGAAAGTTATAATATCGCTCAATTCCAATATTTTTCAACGTACTCGCCACATTTGCAGAGTCACATGATCAAAATTTTGTTCGTGAGCCATCTATTGGCCACGTTATCGAAGCCCTACAATCTTTTCCTTCTCCGTGTATATGAGCGCCATCTGTAGCATATATTTACAAAATATCGTTTTTGCAAACATTACCGAAAAGAAAACGTAGAAAAAGGATTATATACTGTATTTCCGTGTAGATGGAAAAAATCCCTAAGTCATACTGAATATTATTTTAAATAAAAAATGGATAAGTCAAAGTGAATGAAGTTTTTAATGCACAAAAAGTTGGCTGTCTTCCTCACCAAGAGGCTTAAAACAAGCCCTCTCTCTATATCTATAAATATAGATAAAGGTTGACACTTTAGGGTGCTAAACGTTACAATTTGTAATATTTTCTTAATGAAAAAAATGTCATGGTTACATAATTTATTGAATACAATGAAAAACCGCTTATCTTAAACAAGACGTATTAGCATTCTTAGAATTGCTTGTTACGCAATCAACACGTAATAAGTAATTAACTTATCATTTAACAAAAGGGTACATGCTGTTAAACTACAGAGTCTGATGAAAACTTGAACGCTAAACGAACATAGATTTCTAAAGAGGAGAGGAGAGGAGAGGAGGGGAGGGAGGGCAGGAGGAGAAGAAAAAGGCGAGAGAGAGAGAGAGAGGGAGAGGGGGGGAGGGGGTGAGGGTTGAGTGGAATAGAATTGAAGTCATTTTACAAAAAAGAACAAGCATACATAATACGTAATGTGTTTCTTTTAGATTTTAAGAGTAATTACTTTTACATATATTGTATAGTTTAACTGTTGTCCAACTATACACGATTACTTCTTATCTTTGCTATTGTTAACAATAATTTATGAATTCTTTTTAAATGTAGAACTGTATGTCAATCCTTGTCTGTTTTCACTTATTATATATATATATATATATATATATATATATATATATATGTATAGATAGGTATTCTGTTTGGTATCAGTCACGGTATATGTCTAATTATGTCATTTCATCGTGGACAATTTTAGTTCAATTATATATTGATATTGATTTTATTGACATTCTCTTAGATTCATTGCGTCAAATGTTTCACTTTTCTAGAATTGAGAGCCATCATATATATATATACTGCATATATATGGTATATGTATATATAGAATAATTTTTGACAGACACCAGATGTCCTCTACGTGACAGAGGCCCAGGAAGTAAGTTTTCTCCATATAAAAAAATAAGGCTAATATTTACTCTTGTCGCCTTGGCGAATGGTTTTTAACATATAATAATTCCTGCTTATGCTGTCTGGTTTTAAGTGTTCCCTATTTAATCTTAATGGCTTTTAGTTTACACTGTTTTCTTACGAAGATTGAATTTGTATGATATACTTGTTATTCAGTTGAATGAAAGAAACATAATATTTACTTGTATTATCATCAAGTTACAGGTAACATTTAAAGTACATAGTACCAATTATCTTCAATAGTCCTTCAATCTAGTACTACAAAGATTCGTCACGGTAAGCGACATGTAAGATTGATACTAATGTAAAAACAAGATATCACATTAACCCTAACCCTAATGACATACACTACAATATTATGCTCACCAAAAATAGGGAAATATTCGTAAATTTTTAATTAAATTACAGAAAATATCAGGAAAGAAACTATAACGTATAAAAATAATATATGTAACTTTTAAAGTTACTCCACACTCTTTATGCTAACTCTCTCATCTTCTTCGTTCAAGTAGTTTTCTTTGATGCACTCGGACAATTTTGGTAAAATGAGCTTCTTTTCGTTTGGTTTAAGGTATTTAAAGCCCTGAATAAAACCTCTACATTTATCACTTTCACAATTGCATTTAAAGTGCTCTTCCATTTCGTATTCCGTTGTACAATAGTCAAAAGTAATATTTTGCCCTGGTTTTATTGCTTTAACAGCAGTAAGTTGTCCAGTTTTAACGTCCAGCTTACAATTGGGATTGCAGGAGTGATTTGTATATTTAATTGGTTCTACTACATCCATGTGTAAATTTTTGCTTATCTAGAAAAAAATAGAGAGCGTAACGTTATTCTTTTCCAAATGAAATCTGTTACTAAGTAATCATTTTAAGTTACCTGAACGGTAAAGCGTGATTTTTGTTTCACCACATTTCCTCTCATTACGTCTACTAATTCTCCAACAGAAATAGCTTCGAAAGCTTGAAATGATAGAAAATTTTTACCAATGTTCTTAATTCCAGCCTTTTCCAATTGAAAAGCAGTTTTAACACCTTTAAGAAAGTGAAATTGAAACAAGATCGAATGGTTTTATTAATATATATATACAGTATATTCATATACATAATCGTCTCTTTTAATAATCTTACTTACCCATTATTAATACAGTGGTTGAGAGAATTCTAGCAAAATGAAAGTCTTTGGATAGATTGAAGCCAACTGAATATCAAAAGAAAGATCTTGTCCTTTATATAAGGACAAGGTGTCTATTATCGAACAGTACAAAGTTTAAAAGTTTAGCTACATGTCACCCTACTCTGTGACCCAGATGCTATCAAAATTTTCCACTACGTAAAGTAACACTGAGGCCAGTGTGACTTTTAAGTATGATTATAGGATTAGTGAAAACAATTATAAAAGACCAAGGTTAAGAATATTTAACCCCTTTACTCTTCTCAACTACCGGAAAAACCTGTATAATACTATTTATATCACTATAGGAATAGTATAGTGTATTTTTTTGATATTGTCAAGAAACGCTAGTTTTTTTTTGAAGTTAGTATTGTTAATAAAGAATGTAACTATATTAACCACATCATTTTCATAAGGATAGTGAAAAATATGAATTATTCAACAAAAATAATTCTATTCATGCATATAGGTCAAATCTTTCTAATCGCCGTCGTTATCAAGAAAGTAGAAGTCAAAGTACATTGTTAATGTGAAGTTTAAGATTACTATTACATCTATCCATTGTTTCTTTTTATAGTAGTTAAAAGTTTACCTGCGGTATTAGTTTAGTATTGAAAATACTGAAATTAGTTGCATTATTATTATAGTTTTCATTGAAGGGTTATACTGATGATAAAACAGATTATTAAATTAAAAACGTTTAAAGGAATAGACATAGAGGACACGAGAACTAGTTGTTTTTTTTTTTAAATGACATTCTTAATACTTAGACTTTCTTTTTCTTTGTATATATGTTATCGAAGGTGATTACAAAGTTAATAATGTATCGTTCGATAAAAACCATAAAACCTTTGCTTTCAAGTACGAAATATAATACAATATATCCTAATGGTCTGATCAAAAAACAAGAACATAAGAAACGATTCTATCATTCAAGTTAAACATGTCAATATAGGTTGTATCAACTGCAAAGACGTCTATATTTATAACGTATCAATTGTCACATTCAATCTGTTTAGGGACAGCCATTAATATATATATATATAAATTTTATATGTATATTAATCATACACATACGTACTATATACCTCTCATTCATCTTTGTATAGTTAGAAAACTCTATACTATTAAGAATTTCAAAAGGAAAGGAAACTCTAACACTAGATAAAATATTATCAGGTATCTTCTAGTTTAGATAAAGCTCAGCTTTTTTTTATATATCAAACAGTTAACGAGAAAGAGCTATAACTAGTTTTTTATAACGCTTTGTTTATTACTTCTTATGTCTTTGTTTAAGATCGATTACTATTAATAGTACTATTACTACTACTGAAAAGTGTTCAAGCACTTGGAGTTATTACAATTTTCCGTTCACATTATTTAGAGAATATAGAATATCGCCAACTTCAATACGATTCTCTTATGTATAATTACGTAAGAACCGTTACATAATTAACTAATTTTTGAACAATGTAAAAGAAAATTAAACGTTAAAACTTTTTAACAAACAGCAGATATTTGAATTTGCCTGAATAGGTTGGATCGTTTCTTAATTTAATCATTTGTTGACTAAACGAAAATAAGTTACGTAGTCAATTCAATTAAAGTTGATTGAATAAATCTTTAAAATGAAAGGGAAAGAAGAGAAAATAGGCATTTAGTTCCTTCTTTCTCTTTTTATAATATACGTTGAAAAGCTTTTTCTTTCTAACATTGTTTTATAGAGTAAAAATATTTGTAATCCGTATTTAAAACATTTGTAAGGAAGTATTATTTATCTGTTAGAGATTATTTCAATACTTATTTTTAATAAAATATCTAAAAGATTAGTGGCTAGCAACACTTTAGAAAATAATCTGTCTCATAAATATTCATATTTATAAGTTTTATTTTTCTCTTAAATAGAAGAAAACTTTTACTACGGTCTCTTAAAAGGCTATAGCTGCTACTGTGCTGCTATGTTCTTTTGAGGGATATATCTCATTTTTATCAACTTTGTTTCGAAAACTCTTACTAAAATCATTGTCAGTATCTGCTGGTTAAAGTATAATGGGTTCGGGTGTATCGACACTAGATTATCATCTTAAATCTACTGCAATAAATGCTGGAAAAGGTAAACTTTTAATTGATTCTTTTTCGTTTTTCTATAATTAATTAACTTCTCTTTCCCATCCTTTCTCACTAGGTTTGTTCCAAGCTGTAAGAATTGGAAACAATCCCGTAGTATGCCAAAGACTATTAAAGCTAGAACCAAATCTGGCTTTAGAGCTTTACGATGGACTGATGAAGAAAACTGTTCTCAGAGTATGCAAATTTTTTTCCAAACGAATTTAAAGTTGACATTTGGTAAAGATGCATTAAAACAATAACAGATTGCCCATCACCAACTTTCTGTAATAGATGAAAGTAGTCCGGAATATCAACTTCGATTACAAATCTATAATATAATTAAAAATGGTGTAGACGAAGCTATGAGAACAGCTATTTTAAAGGACAATCTGAAGTATATAGTAGATTTATTCAAAGGCGGTAAAATACAAACTTAATCAATGTTTTATGAATGCAAAATTTATTTTCTTCTTTCTAAAAAGGTGCTGACGTTGTACAACTTGATAATCCTTCGTGTACGAACAAACTTGGTTGTTTAGGTCTGGCTTGTGATAAAAAAACTATTAACAATGAAATAGTTAAATTCCTTACTGACAGCGATGAAAGAAACATTCCGGTAAAGTGTAAAATACCACTTGATGCTACTGAATACTTATAATAATGATAAAAAAATCCAGGTACTTTGTGAGGAAATGAAACCTTTTTCTCGTAAAAGTCTATTTAACAAGATACAGGAAAAGGGAAGTTCAGATTTGCAAAACGATTCAAGAAAGAAAATTGAAAATCATCTTTTCAAATTGATAGCAACATCAGATGTAGATGCGGCAAAAATGGTCGAGAAACTCGGGTTAATAGCTTTCATATCTTTTTTCTTATCTATAGTATGTAAGTGTTGTAATTTTTATAGATATCAATTTTTTCCACTGAACTTTTCAAATGATAAGAGCGAAACTCCAATAGAAGTGGCGATAAAGAACAGAGCATTCAAAACAATAAGCAGTATTTTACGTTATGATGTAAAATATTCTTCAATTTTCTCGTTTTCTTTTATAATTGATTATTTTTATTTGTTCTTTTTACTTAGAGAAATAACATACCAATAAATATCCAAGAGGCTAAGTATGAATTACTATTTATATTATTAACTTCCTTGTCCCCCAGCCCCACGAAAACTTCCCTCTATTAAGACTTTTACTTTTAACAGCCATCAAATTACAGTTGCCCTAAATATTGGTCGAAATACTGAGGAGTTATTCAAACATTTAAACGAGATTAACTCAATTGAAAATTTTTCTAAACATTTAAGAAATATCGATAAACGTGCAGTTGATGAGAGAGGTAAAATATAATGACAATGGGTTTAAATACTAATAATTGTAATATAGGTAATAATATTTTGAACCTTGCACTCATTAATGAATGCTCCGAAGATATTTTGAGAGTAATCCTAAAAAACAGTCAAGTATTGCATAATGTTGTTAATGACGATGGACTCGACTGTATTCAAATTACCATTAAACATCTTGAGAATAGATATTTGAAAATTTTATTCGAAGAAGGAATAAGTTTATTAAACCCAAGGCAAATAAATTACTTAGAATTTGCTAAAGGTGAGTAGTTCTTCCCTCCTCCCTCCCTCCCTCTCTCTCTCTCTCTCTCTCTCTATCATAGATAATACTTGTGTACTATGTAGAGGTGAATAAATTTGAAGAATTTGAAATGATTTTAACTACTGAAATGTGGAAAATTTTAAGAACGGCAGTGTCAGTGTCAGATATGAAAACTTTTCATGAAGTTACCGCTTGTGGTGGTAATCCTAAGATTATCAATCGCGACTTTAACTTGGAAGATTCATCGTCCCTTATGCATTGCGCTATCGAAAAAGGTAATCAAGTGAAATTAATAAGCAATCAATCGCTATTTATGTATCGATTTATTTTAGATCAGCGAAAAATGATAAAAGAACTATTTTTAATTGGAGTAGATATTGGTAATACGCATCATCCAGATGAACTGACTCCTTTACATTTAGCAATTCTCAAAGATAAAGATGCAATTGTCGATGAACTCTTCGCCTTTAATTTGCCCCAAAACTTGAATTTATCTTCACAGAGTTTGACTGAAAGTAGAACAGCTTTAATGGAAGCTGCTATTAGAAATAAATTAGAAGTGGTAAAACTTCTAGTATTGAATGGAGCTGATACGCAACAGAAGGATAAGTCGGGAAGGACAGCTGCCGCTTTAGCGTCGAACAAAAATATTGCGTATTACCTACAGAGTATAGAAGATATTGTAGATGAACTTCAAATATTAGACAATATTCCAGTTGGAGATAATTTGCAAAATCATCCAAGAATATTGCAGGAATGCGAAGGTTATTCTCTCGAACCTCAACCTTTAAGTAATATGGATAAGAGAAAAAGATACCTTAAAATTGTCAGGATTGATAATCATTTATCGTTCATGAGTATCGATAATCTAAATACAAAATTAGGTAGTGCTATCAAAGCTTCGGAATTGCAAGACGTCAAAAGTTTCTGCAATGACGGAGCTGATGTTGCCTGTTCAAGTGGTTCTTTAACGCCTTTAAGATTAGCTAATCAAACGCTAAACAAACTATATAATTTTTATAGGAACGCTAATTTTCATGAAGGTAACAGCCATGGATATGAAAAAATGCAGAAAGCTATTAGCGTATCTATTTGGATACAAAATAGATTAAACTTCGAGTTGTGTAGAGCAATTAGAGATAATGATTATCCTAGACTGATTGGCTTAACTGAGGCAGGAGCTAGTTATACTCTTCCTGATATTGATCAAAAAACAAAAGTTAAAGAACGATTCACCTCACCATTTGGTTTAATTGGAATATCTTTGGAAAATCACGACAATGTGGACATTGTTAAAGCAGTATTAAAGTTTACTCCAGAGGAAAACAATCAAGTTTTGGTCAGCCATAATTCTTTAACTTCAATAAACATTGCCCAAAAGTACAAAAGACATAATAGTGCTCAAATTATTATTCAATATTTTACCTTGAGTTTTAAATTACTACTTGAAAACGTAACAAACAATGACTCTTTAAGTCAGTTGGAAAAAGAACAATTGGTAAAAAAAATGGAAATTTTGATGAAGGATGGAGCCTTACCTTCAATAAATACAAAGGAAATTCTAAAGCAAGCTCTTCAGTTCTCCAATTACAACTTATTTAGATTAACTTTGGAAAAAGGAGCCGACCCAAATTTAATAACTGAAGAAGACATCGATAGATCACCTAATAATAGCGATATAAAAAACATCTTTTTATTTTATAAAAAACAACACGAAACCCATAATAACTTGGTTAACGCTCTCTTTAAAGGAGATTTAAAGTTTGTTACCGAATTTCATAGACGGGGTTGTAATACTGCTGGTTATAATTTTAACGGTGATACTTTTGTACTTTGGGCAACAAAGCTAGGTTCGAAAGCTTTAGTTGAGTATTTCTTAGGAGTAGGAGGTCCGCTTGATCATCGAAGTTTAAGTGAAACGAAATCTTTGGTTGAAATATCAAAGAACTCAAACAACGTCGATCTATATAGTTTAATTGAAAATGAGGTGAAAAAACGTTTAAAAATGTCAATTATCAGCGGTGATTGTAGTGAAATTGACATATTATGCTCTTCGAATTCATATCTGTTAGCCGATATCGAAGAGGACTTGCTTGCTAATGATAACGAAACAATTGGAACTTTGGCTGCTAAGAATTTTTCTATAGAAGTATTTAGAACACTACACACTTACAACGTTAACTTTCATAAGTTAAATAACTTGGGAGAATTTCCCTTAGCTATAGCGGCGTCTAAAGGAGATTTTAGCATTGTTGAATTTCTTGTCGAAACAGCTGGAGTAAATGTACAAGAACAATATGGCAATTCAACAGCAGCTGATTTGGCGCAAGCCAAAAAATTCCTTGTAATTGCTCACTATCTAAATACGGGAGAATTACCAGAGGATGATTTAGACAGCAAAGAACCATTATACACTTTAAATGAACTATTAAACGCTGTTAAAAAGGCAAATCATACAATTATTGATGAATTTATAGACGATGATTATAACGATCCAAAATTAAAAGTTCAACATTGTAAGCAGATGATTTTATGCGCAAAAAGGTTATTTTTTATTATTAGTTTTATTTTTATTGTGGTTATTAAAACTATTGTTATGTACAAACAAATCAAATATTCAAAAGGTGTTTTACCTACAACACAGAGAACGGAAGCTGGATATTGCTATAAAACTAGAAAGATTAGCTAAAGATATGGTTGATCCATATACTACCGGTATGTAAAGATTCATACATCATTCAATTTTAGTATTTTATAACATTCCTATCATTTTAATTTAGGTCGAGTTCTTACGCTTTCCAATAAACTAAGAGAAGTTCTAACAACTATGACAAAGACAATCTATCAGTTAATTATAGAAACTGACGAAGTAGGTTCGGATACAGATAACTTGACGGCTATTAGACGACTAACTAAAGAGAGAATCTGTAAAACATTCCTGTCGAAAACGGATATTAACGGAGAGAAACAGGAATTACGGGAAATGGCCAAAAAAACCGAAACCGAAATCGACAACATTGATATACAAACAGACGAAATTAAAGAATCATTAAAGAAAAAGAAAGATGAATTGGAGAAAGCTACTGATCCGGAAGAAAGACTATCCTTAAGAAAGGATATAGAGGAAACGGAGAGAAGGGTAAAAATTTAAGATATTTAAAGATTTACGGTATTCAATTCAAGCTGTAGGATAGTAAAAAACAACTTATTGTCTGTTTTGGATAAAAAGAGGAATAATAGCAACAGTAGGCTGAATAGAAGGTAAAAGTATATATCTTCCAATTTGGCTTTACATTTGAGAACTTCCTAAGCAACTACAATTTACTTCCAGTTTAATTAATTATTGAAATGTATGTTTACTTGTAATATTTAGAAGATATACTTTATAATAGGCTCTTCAAGTAAAAATATAAGACATTCTTAATTTTGCTTAGGAAACTATATACTAAAGGATTCTAAGTATCCAATTATCTTTAGATTTTATCCCTCTGTTTATGAATTATTAAATTCTTTGTTTACAGATGCCTCTGTTGAACTATTATAGAATTTTACTGAACGAAAAAACAAATATTATTAAAAAACATGAAGAAATATTGGAACTTAATCAAAGCAGCAGGGCGGAAGTGTATACATTCTTTAATAGAATAAAAAATCAACTTAAAATGTTATATGCTCAACACTACGTTCAAGATGATGAGAAGGAAAAAACTGACGATCAGTCTGAAAACGATAGCATTCGTAAAGTCATTGTCTTATTCAGCGATTCTGTAATGGAGTTGGCTATTGACGAAATTGACAAAAGTTCGTCTGATGGAGTAAGCCTTTATCATATTTAATTCTTCTTTTCCTAATATCTTATTAACAATTAGAGAAAGATTGTCTCGATTCTTGCGAGAACTCTTCAGGCAACAAATAGCGATATAACAATAGACAACGAAGTACAATCAGAGGAACGTTTACTCTTAACAAGTGGTCTTCTCGATATTGAAATATCATTATCGAGTTACAGAATAGCGCTATTTTATCATCATCAAGTTGGTGTATTTATAGGTAAGAAGGGAATATTTACATATTTTTAGCTAATTATCAAATGAAAATATGCGGATTGTTTATTTTAATATAGACGACGAAGCCTTCAAAATGATTTACAACTTTTCCGATTTCATAACATATGCAATATATACGAACAGATCGAAATTTAATGATATACAACCAATACAATTGAGTAAGTGAAATATATCTATAATTAATATTTATTCAATTAGATAATCAATGTATTCTATTCATTTTTCACTTAAAAAAAAGATGAACAGTTCGCGCTTGCTGCTACTACGACATTAAGCTTAATATCGGATATTGGAGAGAAATTAAAGGTATAGTATAGGAAAGTGTTTTTTCATTTTCCATCTTATTACTTGGATCTTTTCTTTGGAAATAGGCTAAAATTAAATGTGCGGATGAAACCATTCGTGATACAACTATATATGAATTAAGCACGGAAGGAGTAATTATTACATCAAATGGACATTTATACGGTGATGAGAAAAATATTGATATCTTTGGACTCTATCCAGGAACAAAAGAAGTAGCTGAAAAACGAAAGTTGCAATTATTACTAGAAAAAGGGGTGGCTAATCCGAATTATTACCCTCAAGGTTAACTATTTTAATCCATTTATTCTTTAAAATATTAATTAATAATTAATTATTTTTAGAGTCTATTGAAAAAGTCCTAAAGTATATATCGAGACAAGAGATAAACAACTTCCTTGATTCGCAAGGTGTTAGCAAAAAGTCTATTCAAATTGAGTTGCAAAAATATTCCGGGATAGTTGATGATAAAGTTCTAAAATTAAACCAGAAGTTTATAATTTCTCAAGCGAATGTTGAGGATCAGGTATTGATTACGTCATCTTTATAATTTTGTATTTTGGCCCGATTATTAACCTGCTGCTTTCGCTTCTTGATAACGTCTTTGTACAATTAAAAATTTGTAACATTCACTTTTAGGCACCGACTTACACAATTATAATTGATTAGCCTCAAGGTAAAAAATAGGACGATTTTATCACATTTGATGCTTTTAAGCGCTTCAATACTGTAACAATTTCGGTTAGCCAGCCGTAACATCAACGGTTGGTTATTCAATTGTTAAAGCACACACACAAAAAAAAGAAAGTTTCCTCTTTGAATTCTTTTCAGAGATTCACCTTTTATTACATTCTTTCAGATAACAAAAATGTGTGGCCACATTGATGAGCATGTTAAAAAGACGAGTGGAGAGCTGGAACAAGTAAGGCATCATCAACAGGTGTTTATGAAACAAGCACTTAACGATTTTAAAAATCAAATGGCTATATTATTGACTACTTATGAAAAAGAAAAGGTTCTTGAGAGATGCCATCTTCTTACCTAATTATTTTAAAATCATAAATTTTGATTTAAACAGAGTGAAAGAACTGAGGAATTTAGAAAATTTAAATGGAGATTGAAGCAAATCTACGGCGAACAAAGCGATGATACGGTCGAAAAATTAAATAACGATAAAAGAGAGTTTGAGCAAAGAATTAAAGATTTTAATGAGGAAATGCAAAATTCTTATCATCAACTTTTCGAAACAATGCATAAGACTTTGGGACAATTTGCAGTAAAGGTAAAACTGTCAAAACTAACTGTTTTTTATTAAAAGTGTTTAAGAACCTTCTTGACACTTTGAAGTGATATTGTAAATAAAATAAATCATTAATGCTTTACTTCAATTCAGATGAACAATATGGAAATGAGTGTGAATTCTACGGAGAGTACAACAAGTCGATTAGGCGAGGTTGTCCATGATTTTAAGGACAAACTAAATTTATTCAAGAGACAAGTATATATAACTATAGATAATATTCGGATAATTTGAATAATTATTGAATATAATTTATATCTTTTCAGCTTGACTCGTTCGACTTTAAAATTGAAGATATAATTCCCAATTCGGAAAGTCCACTTCCAAAAACTGATATATTCGAATAAGAGAGCGCACTCTACCAGCTGATTCTGTCTTGAACAATTAAATATATATCTTCTCTTCTTTTGGCTTTTTGTAACAAATACATTAAACTTACATTATTAATAGTATTTTGTTGTAATATACAGAAATTAGAAGGTATAAAACTCTAAATGGTAAAAGTGATTTTTAAAGGAAGATGTAGGATATGAAAAAGGAATTAATCTGGTAAAGGATTCACCGTCCTTAAATCGTTAAAATCTCCAGAGAGGATAAAGTAAAGTATTGATTTTAGGGTCGTTAAATTTCGATACATCGCATTTTGGAAGCGGAGACATCGGAATCCTTTCTTAAGAAATTCCATTGTTGATGCACATAAACCGCAATTTTTAAACGATTTAGGTCATTTAATGACATAAACTAGTATAATAATAACAAGTTTCGAAATGTAATTCATCTTTACCCCTTCTTAACGACTTCTTTTCAAGAGCCGACTATAAATCAATTGTATCAATTGTAAGCATTCATCTGTCAAACTGTTTTTTTAAATTTTACGATTCGCGCCAAATTTTCGGCCCTTAAGGGCTCGTTTGCATATTCGAATTGCACGCGTCAGTCTTTATTGAAATCGCTGCGCGCTCATTCAACTGTCAGTCGCGTTAGATCCGCATCGCTCCTAAGACCGGTATTTATTTTCTATTTTTTTTTCTCTTTCTCCCTCTCTCTCTCTCTCTCTCTCTCTCTCTCTCTCTCTTCATTAACATTATTATTAATATTTTTTGTCCTATATAAATTAATATTCAAATTTATGGCCGTTTTAATAAAAACTAACAATTATTTATAATATTTAAGCAATAAACTATTAAATTCTTATTAACTTACCACCATGCGAAAATTTGTTACCTTTAAACAGCCTTTTATGATTATTAAAGAGCTAAATCATCATTTTATATTTAGATATATTTTCTTAGGTAAATGTAGCTGTATGGAAAATTAATTCGTACCTTGTTAAAAGTTATAACTAGTTACGTACTTAAGCAATTTAATTACATTTTATCGCCTCCTTGCCAAAGGCTTATGTAATGTTATCAAAAGAGAAAATGGAGAATAAATTCTTCTTTTGTTCCCTATTCTTTTTTTCTTTAACTAATTTTCCACATAATTTACTCAATTAATAGGAGTTTAATATTAACCCACTTCCGCTCTACTGTATTTTTCATGGTAAAAGGGGAGGATGATTGAAGGAGGTGGGAGGCAAAAAAAGAGAAAGAGAGAAAGAAATTCCTACCTTTTTACCCTTGGTCACTAAAATTTATTTATAAATAAACTAAACTACCTTCCGACCGTGCATGATCTATTATTACGGCATTTACATTTAGGTCACGTGACTGTGATTTATGACATTTAGGGAGTTTATGCTCACCCTTTATGCTATGGAAGGGTTGTTTTTGGTATATTTATTACCCGTTTCTTTTTTATATCGAATATAGGTGGTCCAAAGGTTTATTGGTAATATCTGTTACATTACAGTGTACCGGTGTATAAGAAATGACTGTTTTAATGTTTTATAACTTGATTTCTTGTTAAACATTTGCACATATGAAGAACTTTGATTTATTTTATGAACCGGCGAATATTTTATTGAAGGTTATTTAAATAAATTAAACTCCCAATTGCGCTTAAGATTAAGGAGAGGGGAAAGAGAGAGAGAGAGAATGAAAGAGGACGGGGAGAGAGAGAGAGAGAAGAATAAAAATTAATAAGAGTAAATCGATAGGGTTAGGGTCATCTTAAATAAGAGTCTTTTAAGGTACAAGTTACTCTACACCTCGTTAAAAACGCCGTGGGAAAAATAGACAATACCTTCAGTAAATCGTACGCAAGGGTCTAGTTATGTCACGTTAAAGGTCGTTTGTTCATTGTTGATGTAAAAAAAGTAAAGGTTATTATATTCAGACTTTTGACTCTTTTATAATAATGAAGAGGTCGGTTTATAAATAGGTAAAGTGACATTTGATTGAGGATTAGGAGTTTTAAGTACACAAATATCAAGTTTTGTAAATAATTCACATTCCCCCTCTTTTCTCCATCCTTATTGCATTATCGTCTTCACTTCCTTACCTTGAAATTAATACTAATTACTTATTCAACCGGAACCGTATGTCTTCTTGTTATCGTTGGATTTATCCTAAGAGGACAACTTTTAGGAGAAGTATTAAAAAAAAAAGCAGGAAGAAGAGATGAAAAAAGTAAACAATTTGTCTTCTTTCATCTTCCCTTGAAGTAAGGAATCGGTGCATGTTCGACCCTAAAAAAATATAAAGGGTTAAAAAAAAACTAGTAGCGCGATTAACTTGGAAGACCGTGCGAAACGCATGATCACGCTGATAAAAAGGTTACGGAAATGATCCTTTGTGACGTAACGACCCCTAAAAATCCTTACTGTCAACACCTGGGGCTATTTTCATTACGCCTTACTGGCTTTTCGAGACTTTTTATGATCATTTAATTTTGGCATCACGCATATTTATCATTCCCCTTAGTTTACATCTCCTTTAGGAGATCAACCAAGAAGCCGCCTCACCCGTTGTCATCCCTTTACCCTCCCATTCATAAACTACCTAAGATTCAAGCCATTATTGGCGAGTTCATAAGCTTTCAGAGCACCCTAAAGTGGGCCCTTTAATTGGCGTTTTTAACGTGTCCTCGCGGCGCGTTTGAAAAGGAATCAATAGTACCTGTAGAGGAGTTTCTATTTATAGAAAGGCCCATACAGTACGATACAGTATGGTGTAATAAAAAAAAGCAGTAGCGTGTGAACATAAAAGGCTATTTTCATATTTTCGACCCAAGAATAGTATTTTAAAATAATCTATTAAAAATTTATTTCACCGGTTCTATACCTTATTCAAAATTCTTTTGTGCCGCGTCAGAGCCTTCTTCCTACTACCTTACAGTAATTTTCTTTTCATTCGGCAGCTGAAGAACGTTTTAGAATACCTCTTCTACCCAGTTGGAGTTTTATTGGGTACGTTTTGTTCCCATTATCATTAGGGATAAAAAAAAGTTTTTTCAAACAATAAACTATTGATAAAGTTTTTCCCCAAAGAAGAAAATTGAATAGAGACAAATCACCGACGAAACGTAATAAAGAAGAGAGAATAGGAGATATTAAAAAGGAGAAGACAGTTATATATATATATATATATATAGATATATATACAGTATATATATATACATATTCAATCTATACAAAGAGGACGAAGAGGAGGAGTTATTGAATACAATTTAAAAAATACACTCGATCTCATTGAAAAGGCGTTTTGGTTGAATATATATAGAAAAGAAAGTCTGAAATGCTTAACGCCAATAAAGATAGAATCTTGTAAGTTAAATTACTTTTTTTTTTTACATCTAACGTATAATAATGCAATATACGTTGCATATAGTGAAACGCTCGTTATCTTAGGCGCCATCTACCCGTGCACTTGTTATATGACTTTGTGCGGCAGACCATTCGGAGGCGTTATAGCTAAAGAACAATATTTTTAAGGGCAACAAATTTGGGAAATTTTATCGCTTTAGTGCTGGAAAAAATATTTTGTTTGACGAAAACAAGACATTTTATTTGTAAAATAGGAAATAAAAACGAAAACGAGATAGATAGATAGAAGGAAAAAGAGGAAAAAATTGAGAGGAAAGAAGGATTTGAATATACTTAGTCACTTAGTCAAGGTTAGAGAAGAGAGAGAGAGAGAGAGGAAGTAAAGAATATTAAAAGATAATTATATATCTCTCTATCTATACACGTTGTACAGATTTATTCAATATACTATATATCGGCGTACGTATATATTTGTACACATGAAAGATGAATGAGGAAAATAATCAGAGGTAATTAATACGGGTAATTTCTAAAAGAATATCTATGTCTTAGTTTAATTTATTTATTCATTAAATTCTCGAACCAAGTAGCAAAAAAGATAATTATCTTTTTGAGATTGACATCCAAGTGTCAAACTCTTCAAAGAGCAGAAAGAGAAAGCGACGAGGGCTTGCCGGCGGATAGAAAAGCTAGTTAATTACGTTTTTAAACTTGCAGATATTGCCGTCAGACGCAAACTTCTCCTCTAAATCGATATTTGAGAAAAGGAAGAAGAGAAGAATCCGACTTGGAAGTCGGTGTTTCAACAGCTACTCAAACATCGAGTGCACTCGATTCTCTTCTAATCGGCTTTCGACCGATACCATCGAGAAATCTCATCAAAATTTTTGCCAGTTCTTATCAAACTCCAGATGATCTCATAGTAAACTATATTACCGATCTCTATATGAAATTAGCTAAAGAATTGCATAATGACGCGATCCTGGGGCAAAAATTACAAATGGCGCTTACGCTTTTTTATAGGATTCTTGAAAAGATTCTATTAATGGAAAAAAGGAATTACAATGATAAAGAAATGACTTTAATCTTACGGAAGGAAATGTTTTACAAATGTCTTTTCGCTTGCGTCTTTGAAATCCTAATCTTTTCTTATGACTCTGAAAAGACATTTCCCTGGGTAATTCGGGTTCTGGATTTATCTGCCTTTAATTTTTACAAAGTAATTGAATTGGTAATTAGGGCCGAAGGCAGCCTAAGCCGTCAGCAGGTTATGCATTTGAACAAGATCGAAGAATCCATTCTAGAGAGTCAAGCGTGGGCCACAAATAGCCCTCTTTGGTATCTTTATAAAGAAAACGGATACGCACTAAAGCGACATCTCTCTAACAAAACTGATTCGGTCGAGTTATTTTTAAGAAAAGTACAAAATTTAGCCTATGCTAAATTGAAAAATTTCTCCTGTCATTTAAGAATTAATGAGATACTCTTTGATAAAATTTTATCGACGTTTCGCTTCGTTCTAACTAATCATACCACAATTATGATGGATAGACATATTGACCAAATAATTATGTGTATCGTATATGCTATTGCCAAAGCAACTGGTCAGAATATCTCATTTCAAAGAATTCTAACCATTTATAAAATGCAATCGCCGTCCAATATTAATATTTATCGAAAAGTTCCGCTGACGAAGCGTTCTTTTAATCAGCTGACCTCAATAGAAACATCAATTGATGAACCTCTCGAAAAGAGGACGAAAACTGGTCAACGCTTTCCATTTTCCTTTACTCGATCAGATTATAAAGATTCCAGAGAAGAGAGAAGATATGTGAAAAAAACTGCAACTGACAGAAAAAATACCGTTGATATCAATAATAACAATAATAATCATAATCATGATAATAATAATAATTATGATGACGGAGATAATGACGTCGACGGGAACGGCTGTGAAAATGATGATGATACTGATAATAATAATAATGAAAACTGGATATCATCCAAGAGAAGACGATTTTCTGCTTTTAAAATGGTGAATAGATCGCATCTGTTACATAACGCCAATAAAGAGACTGTAGAAAGGACATTGACTCAGTTGTCAACGAATTCTACTGTGCAAATAGTTTATCGACAAGGAGCTAATAAAGACAGAGAATACGGGGATATTATTCAGTTTTACAATTCCGTTTTTGTCTGCTTAGTAAAGGATTTTGTTCTAAAAATAGCAAAGTTATATAAGAAAGAAATGGAGGAAAAGGAGAGAGAAGATAGAAATGAAAAGAAAACTCGATTAACTGGTATTCACTCTACGAATTATCCAAGAAAATATGGAGATTTTCGAGTTTCCGTTCATTCATTTAAACCGGTTAAAATAGAACAATCCGTGTCCTATCATTTTCAAACGTCTCCTTCTCATAAACTCTCTACGATTAATTCTATGATTAATAGAAACGATAATTCATCTTCAACAACAGCAGCTAGAAGGAATTTAAATATGACAGAGAACTGGAATCAATCACCAACCCTTTTAAAGCTATTATTAAATAAGTTGAATAATAATTAAGATGTCTAGGAAAGCCTTTATTTCTCTTATTGTGTTATCTTTGTTTTAGTCTTTCTCGCCTCTTAGACTTTGTTATCATACTTTTATATCTTGTTTGTTTTATTTTAGAAATACATTTTTTTTAACCTCTTCAATCAATTTGTTAACATCGATTTATACTCCTTTTATTTAAATTATCAACAATTATATTAAAGCTTAGATTATTAGAGTAACACAAGGAATATATTTTATCATATAGGAAATAAATTGACTTAAACCTTTCAGAGTGCTGTTTGTATAGGAGCAACTTTACCAGGCACTAAATAACCGCTATGAAAGTAATCTTGTTAAATAATGTTTTAGTAATTGGGTAAATTTTATCCAAAAAAGGATTTTTTCTTTCTCATTCATTCTCTATTTTATTATCCATTTCTCTCTCTCTCTCTTCCTTGTTACTTCAATCTCTTACTTTATCTTATGCTCTTTTCCCCAGAATCCCCTCTCTCCTTCCATCTCTTTCTGCTTGTTACACACCACACAGACACACACACACACACACTCTCTCTCTCACACACATCATCATTTCTCTTGTCTCATCTGAACTAAATCCAACTACTGGCTAATTTTAGATCGATATAAGAAGAGAACAACAACAAAATATAGGGAAATTTTTTTTTATTCTCTTTCATTTTTTCCTTCTTATGTCATTTTTTTTTCTTGGCCAAATTTTGGATGAGAAGAAGCCCCGAGTCGGAATACGAATTGCATTAGACAAGCCGCGTCGCTCTACTTGATCAAGCGCCGTATAGACTTTCAATAATAGTCTTCTTTTTGTGTAGCCTTTTGTGTTGGATGTATTATCTGGTTAATAAAACGTTAATATATTTATACTGGCCTGTTTGGCTAGGCATTTTTCAGTGTTTATTTTTATGTTTGCGATTAGCACTCATCTTTTCTGGTCTATTTTTTGTATATACAGCATTTATATATAAAAGGAAAGTTTTGTCCTCTTTATCACTAGTTATTCTAACTGCTACCCTCATCGTCAATTTTCCCTTTTCTTTCTTCTTTATTCTCTGATAACCTTTACTAAATTTTGTGCTGAAATCGTTACTGTCTCGGTTCAGAAACGACCCAAGATGATTAAACTGGAGGACGTTACCTCAGTAAGTGTCTTTTCTAAAAGAATGTATTCTTTTCTGACAGTGGAGAGACTACAGGAAACGTTAGATTTTTGAATTAAATAGCAATAATGAAAAATTAAATAAAAATAAACAAAGAGAATAATCCCATAATACACTATTCTTCTTTCTTTCTATTCCCGAACAGGCATTAGATTATAATAAATTTAGCTTTCTCTACTCTCAGCTACAATGCAAGCAGAATGATTTGAAAGAGCTGAGAGAATTTTTAAACGAAAGTCGTTCGATTGAGGAAAATTATTGTAAAGGTTTATTGAAGCTATATTGTAAATTTCCAAAAGAGGATCATTTCAGTTCCTTTCAATCTCTCTGGGACAATCTGAAAGATCTCGTCAGGGGGGCTTGCAATTTGCACCAAACTGTAGCTCACAATTTGAATGATATATCCAACAATCTTAAAAAGTATATGGGTATAACATCCTACTTATTCTTAACGATTATTTGCTGTTTTTTTTAACTTGTCAATAGTTTAATGGAATTCCTTTTCCATTGTAGAAAGTGTCAAAACCAAAAATGAGGCTATTAAGATGGAAGAGAGCAGTATACTTACGTTTAAAAGATCTTTAGATAACCTTGAAAAATCAAAAGAAAAAGCTAAAAGTGACTATAGGAGCGTAATTAATTATCTGAATGATTATAAGACTAGGTCGTTTGTTAAAGGCGACTGTTTGGAAAAGCTTATGTCAAAAGCTGAAAAGTCATCGTTGACCTTTAAAACTCTTGACGTCCGTTATGTCGATTCAAAGGACGAATTTGAAAGAAGACTTGAAAAGATGTATGGAAATATAGAAAAAGCAGAAAACCATCATTTAGATAACTTGAATAGCTTTACTATTGATTATTCGAACGTATGGACGAGTTATTCTTTAAATTTTGATCAGGTTCATTTTCTGTTTTATTGATAATTGAATTTAATGAATAAATAAATGAGCTAATTAATTAATAGCTAATAATTTTATATAAACAGCTCCTTAAGCATAAAAATCTAAAGAAATTAAAGAAGAGCTCCTCCCCTCCTCGCTACTCTTCTCCTAGTCAGTCGAAAGGCTAAATTGCAAACAATGCAAACAAGATGAAAGAGGATCTAAATCGGAAGGGAGAAGTCAATTGACTAAACAATTATTTTCGTATTAATTTCAGACTTACTGTCTTCTTTTAGTTGATTTTATTAACGAAATAATTAAGGAATTTGTTAGGCTTATGTATGGAATATTTTGCCTGTTAAATTATAGATTTTACCAACCTACTCTGCCAACTAAACATATGTAACAATCTACGCAATAGCTTATTAATATTATTAATAAATAAACACTGAGTGCGTGCCAAAGTTCAATTTATCTTTAATGCCATCCAAGTCATTTTTACGTTTTAACCTACGCAACATATTTTCTAGACTAGCTACACAGCTGTAATATTCACGAACAACGCTAATGTCTCTTATTTTTTACATTTAGATAAATAAATCTTATACTTAGTATATAAATGTCGACTTTCTATAAATTTACTTTTATACTAAACTATGTAAGCATGAAATTAATGACTTTTATATTCCTTATCCAACTGGTATCTTCCGAGAATATTGATCTCTTGGGAAAACCTGTAAAACAATCTGGTAAGAATAGAATACTATTCGATGGGGTTTTGCACAAGGCCGAATTGGCTATTGATGGGGATGAGACTGATGGAGGGGAGTAAGTCTTACCATTAAAATATCTATTGATAATTATAACTCTTTCTTAATCTCTCTTTCTTTTAATCCTTTATTTAAAGCTTTAAATCGTGCATGAATGCCGAACCGGATGGTGATTATAAATGGCTAATGATTGATCTGGAAAGTGTATATAACATTAATAAAGTAAATTTAGTGCTAAGGGAATGTTGCTGTATGTCAAAAATAACTATATTATTTATTCATTATTATGTTAATTGAAAAAGTAACTTTTTCTCTTCTCCTCTTCCTTTTCCAGTTGATCATTACAGAGAATTGTTTATTCGTTTATACACTAAACCTCCAGAAAAATGGTACGACGGTGGAGATTTGTGCAAACATTTCAAAATTGAAAAAGATCCACCAAGAAAAATAAATATATCATGCGATAACCCCGTATCTGGCCGTTATGTTGCAATATCTATGAATTATAAACTTCCAATTTATAAGAACTTGCAGCTTTGCGAGGTTTGTTGAGAGAAAGATGTACAGACAACGAGAGCGAAAGAGAGAGAGTGGGAGAGAGAGAGAGAGAGAGAGAGAAAGAGGAAGAGAAATGGAAAGCTTGCATAAAAAAAATAATAACTTAATAAGGAGATAGTTTTTTGCGATATTTTTAGGTCTATATCGATGGAACTTTGACAGGCAACTCTGTAAAACAAGCCACGAACTACACACCCAAAATAGCCAGTACAAACTTTTACTATTAATTGCCTTAATTTTTCTACTAGTTTTAAATTACACTTAATTGAAACAGGAACGACGGACCGTTTGTCAACCTCATCAACTTTGACTGTTACTCCCGTTCCAACGCCAACAAGCACAGAGAAGATTAAGTATAGTAAGAAAGCGGAAAAAGAATGCTCTAGCCAGGATTCTTGCGGATTAAGGTGTACCGATACAGTTGAACCATCGGGATTAGAAGCCGTTCCTAACAGTTGGCCGTTTTTAGCGGCCATATTCCAAAGAACGCCTTATTTGGTGCGTCTAAAATAATTTTCCATCTCTTCTTCACCTTAGTCGTCTTTTGCGTCTTTGCTTTATCTTTAGAATATTTTGGGGTGAAAAGAGAGAGAGAGAGAGAGAGACAGATATATATATATATATATATCATGCATTAATAATATTTTTTTTCTCTTTCGTACTGTTACAGCGGTACATTTGTGCAGCAACGATTATTTCACATAAATGGTTAATTACATCAGCAAATTGCTTTGAGGGCGATCTAAAGTAAATTTTCTTTAAAAGGTATAAAACGAGTAGCTTTATATAATTTATTGATCGGTTTAGGAGTGAAAATTACATAGTCCTAGTTGGAGTGACAAACACTGAATTTGAAGAATTAAATTTTAACCAAAAGGAACACGAAATAAACCGATTTGTGTCCCAACCGGAATTTCCGGAAAAAACTGACAATGGTACTGTCCTAATTGAATTAAAGGAAGATCTTATGTGGAATCAACAAATACGTAGAATTTGTCTATCACCACAAAAACCCTCTAAGGCTGATAAATGTTTTCAAGTAGGTTGGGGTTCAAGGTTTCTTAACTTAAAAGGTTGTGATAATTAGATTTACAGCTTATCCTTGAATTTATACCTCTTCGACAATCATTCTTTTTGCAGAGGATATAAATAAACACCTGTTTAATTTGATGGAAATTGCTGTTAGTGAACACGATTGTTCCTCTAGTACAAATAATTCAACTAGATGCTTTCAATCCGAAAAAGGCTTTTGCTACGTAAGTTTTATTATACTCTATAATCTATCTTTTTCTCATTTTCCTTCTCCTCTTCATCTTCCCCCCACCCCCTCCCCTTCTACTTAATCCACTAATAAATAACCGATATAATCCAAAGAAGGAAATAATGATTACAATTGATAAATTGATTGCAGTTTGATTATGGCGGACCAGTTGTTTGTAATAAAGGGGATAAATATACGCTTGTTGGTATAAGAGGATTAAGAACTGGTTGCGATTCAGCCTCTGAAATAGTAACAAACATACAGGAAAACGGTATTTCTGAATGGATAGATAGCATTATAAATAAATAGGCTTAATTAGTAATTAATAAATAAATTGGAATTTAAAACAGTATCCTATGAAGTATATAGTTAGATGGATGTATTGTTTTCTGTCCTTGTTATGAATGTCTTCTTATTTGCTAGAAACAGGTTTTGAATAAAATTAAAAAGAAATGAGGTCAAATTGAGAAAAAATATATATATTTTATTAAAAAAACTATTCATATTAATGCCTGAAGGGAATATGTTAATTAGATTTATTCTAGAATAAGATATGGTTGAAGAGAAACTATTATTTAAAAAGTGTTCAACTTTTTTTCTTGAATATCATCTTTATCACTTGCTATATATATTTATATATATATATTTAATTTCTTTAGGGTTTCGGGGTTGGTTTCGGGGTTGGTTTCGGGGTTGGTTTCGGGGTTGGCTTTGGTGTTGTTTTTACATTCTTGGCTTTAGCGGCTTTAGCCTTCTTCTTCTTTTGCGCTATCTTCTTCTTCTTTTCTGCTACCTTCTTCTTTTTAGCAGCTTCGTTCTTTTTCTTGGCTTCTGTCTTCTTTTTCTTGTTGGCTTTGCCACCTTTCTTACCAGGTCCTTTACCGTGTCCCTTTCCGGGTCCCTTTCCATGTCCCTTTCCGTGTCCCTTTCCGTGTCCCTTTCCGTGTCCCTTTCCGTGTCCGTGTTCAATTCCGGTTGTATTAAAGTCTGTAGAATTATGCAGATCTCCCCATTCGTCGATATCAGTATGATTTCCTACAGTGAAATTTCCATCCGCCCATTCTGTACCACTGTGTTCTCCGTCGAGATGTTTTTCAGTATCATCTGTCAGATGCCAGCCATCATCTCCCTATACAAAGAAATACTTATTCGCAATGATTGGCAAGAAGATAAGGATTACACTGTTACTTTATTTATTCGTTTTGTTAAAAGAGAAATTTACTTTTTCTATAAAAGCTTTAACTAATCAAAACGGAATTAAAAGTTTAAAATAGAAAAAGTTGTTTTTTTAAAAAAACAAACAAAAACGAAAAAGATAAAGCAGCATAATTTATAATAGAAGAAGAAGAAGAAAAGAGAAAATTAAAATGGAATATTTACCGAACCATGTTCAACAGTTGGAGAAATAAGGTTTTGTATCAGAAATACAGTTATAGATATAAAGATGAACGTCTTCATAATTAATACAAAATTATAGTTAACGTTCCAAACACGATTGTTGAACTACTGCATTTAAAATGAATTATTGAAGTATTTTAAATGGTAAAAGGTAACAGGATGTAAAATATGCAAATGCGATAATTGATAACATTTTTGACGTCAAACAATAAAAATATTGTTTCAATTGTAATAGTTAAAATCTATTTAGAGAAAATAGAAAGAAAACTGCGGGCATCAAACTGTTACGCTTTTATTTAGACATGAAATATTCATATCCGATTTTATTAGTCATAATAATAATTTCAGAAATGTAAGCTTTATATCATAAACACACCTTTGGAAAAAATGTATTAATAGTTGTCGATGAATCATTCAAATAATTTATGTATTTCGGTGTATTTATAGTTTGATAAGCACTTCCATACGTGTAATATCATTTATTATCATTAATCATACGATCGATTTTAATAGGTATTGCATAAATAGAGCTAATATAAACATGAATGTATATTATGCAAATTCTATAGCCTTTTTTTATAGATAAAAGTATATACTGTATTTATATGTTGTTTGTAAGAACATGACTATATTGAATTATTTAGAAATATACAGCTAATAGAATGTGATTTAACACATTAATTTGAAAATTCACCAGATGTTGTCAATTAATTTGCAACTGGATAAATGCAATTGCTTCCTGTTGCTAAAGAGCTTATACGCTTTTGCTTACTCGGAAATTAACGGCTTATTTCACATTTCCTTTGATTCAACCCCTATCTTTTTGCCTCCCTCCTCCCTCTCTGCCTCTGTTTCTTTGTATTTCTGTCCATTTGTCTGTATAAATGAGCGTCTAGTCCCATCATCCCTCCCTATCTATCTTACTCGTTTATATTTCCCTCCTCTAGTCTTTCATCATTCCTAACGCTTATATTTTTCTCTCTTTTCATCAACTTTTAATTCGCCATTTATCAACTGTTCTTCAGTTATTTTCTACATAGAAGAAACAAATTCGCTGACTGACGTAGTTAGTATGAAAAATAAAGTTTTTATAATACAATTTTTGAATTTTCCTCTTTATAATGTAATTACCAATTATATTAATTGCTAAATAATTACCAATTGGTAACGATTACATGGATAAAAGAGACAATAGAACTATCCATAGTTTTGTCTCTCTCTCTCCCTCTGTTTAACAAAATAAAAGTACATAAAAAAATGTTATAAATACTTTATTGTTTTTTGTTCTAAAAATGAGAAGAACGGAAATTAAAAGAGGAAAAGAGAAATTAAAAGAATATTAAGATGATTACCTTTCTTTATATAGATTTAATAGATTGTTGAATATCTGAATAAAATTCTTATTTATTCCTCTTTTATTCAATTTTAACTAATCTTTTCCTCTTTTATTTCAAAACAATGACCTATTTATAGGTAATTTTTAACGATTAACAAGTTTAGAATAATAATTAGGCAATAAATATTCAAGTTTCTTTATTCATCGTTTCCTTTTAGGTCTAATTCAATTAAAATTATATACTCTATACCTTTTCATCTATGTTTGAAGACTCAAAACCATAATTATTTCATCTCTCTTCTCCTCCTCCCACCCTCCCTCTCTTCTAGTTATTTGTAGGTAAAACTTTATCTAAGCTATGTAATTAGGTATTTTTCTCAAAGTATTAAATATTTATTAACTGTCACGAGTTATTAAACGCCTCTCTTATTTAATTATTCAACATTTCATAACTTTTTTGTTAATATTACTAAAGAAAAAGCTACTGCTCTAAAAAATCTTAGTAATGCCCATTTTCTGTAATTCTTTCAAATTTAGAAGAGTTTCCGGGTAATTATTTCAAATAACGTTAATTTTAGGTGTATCCTCCATATAAAATATTGTGCTGTTATAGACATATATATATATAGGATATTTTCTCTCTTCTTCCCTCCCTCTCTCTCTCTTTCTGTTTCTTCTTCTAGACGAGATGAAATTATTGCCAATTTTACCAGCAAACGGTCTTCCTCCTACTAATCTTCTTTTAAACTCTTCTTTTCGACATACTAATATCATATAAAAAGGTTATTAGAATGATTATGTATGCGCTTTTGCTTAAATTTGCAAAGGATTTAAGAGAAAAGTGCAAAGGATATGAAGAAGACGAAAAAGAAGAAGAAGAAGAAGAAGAAGAAGAAGAGAGAGAGAGAATAGAAAAAGGTTGTTTTATTTAGTTAAGCTGTGTTAGAAAGGAATAAAAGAAATACTTTTATTCTTAAACAAACAGTCTTAACCGAAAAAAAATAAATATTTTCTTTTTACCTATTTTCTCTCTTTATCTTATTAATTACTTTGCTTAATGTAATAATAAACTAATTATTTTTTAGGCCTAAATTATCTTCTTTATCGTTTAAAGATTATAATATTAGCCATTATTCATTTAATACTTAATCCCTTTTTGTGTTTTCTTTCTTGTTTTATTTTTAATTAAAAGATTAACTTTTTTTCTTTCTTTCGCCTTGGGAGTTTCCTCTTTGTCTCATCTTCTTCGGCTAGTATTACTGCCATTACTACTGCTACTACTACCGCAGCAATCACTTCTACTTCTTCTCCTTATTCTTTTCCTTGTATTATAATCCCGTTGGAAAATATTTACATTTCATTTATTTCATTAGGAAAAAAAGTAATAATAGAGGAGAAAAATAGAGGAAATTCAGTTCAACTTTTAGTGATACGTTAATTAAAAATGAGTTGTCAAAAGAGCTAATGTCCTCTTTTGGGGACACGTCACATATTATTGCCAATAAAGGAAAACACCTGCTGAAAATATTTCCAAATAGTTATAGAAACTTATATTTTAGAAAAAGTATGTCTATCGATTAGGAATTCTATATAAACTTTATCGGAAGAAGAGAAGTAAAAAACCGTTAAATTAAGACTTGTTAGCCTTTTTACGAATTCTAACAAGTGCTATCTCTTTAAATGTAATTTATTTTAGAACCACGTTGTTAATTATGTTTTGGAGACGATTCTGAAGACGACGAGAAGAAGAAGAAGAAGAAGAAGAAAAAGGACAAAAGAAATAGTTTTAGCTTTAACTTTGTCAGTTAAATAGGTTAATTGTGAAATAAATGATTTAAACTAGAATTTCACTTTAACGATTCATTAAACTACAATGAATAGGCAATAAGATGGCGAATTGTATGTAAAAAGTTGAGAGAAGATAGAGCGTACAGTATAGTTTATATGTTAGGCAGAGTAGTTGTAATTAATGTCGCAGGAATATAACTCAGTGGCAGCCAATGGTATTTTTTACATTGTTAAAAGAATACAACAGTCAACATTTCACACGTGATGTGAAAATATCTAATTTTAAATGCCTAGCTATATTTGTTCCATAAACAATACCTTTTGAACTGTTTGCTTATCCTCTTACGTAATATATTTTACCCATATATAGCCTACAGTTTATCTTAGGATAGCTTTTCAATCAAAGTTTGTGACTATAGTCCATCTACAAGGCGATAATCCTTTAATATCAACAAGATTTGGAGATTTTAAGTAGATCCTAGGCTAAAAATGGATATTAAAGCTTTAACAAGCACTATACCGTCTTACCTGTCGAATGGTCTAAATCTGTCTTAATTAGATGGAATGTAACAAATACATATATTTATATATATATATAAATAGCATACACAGTACATAAATATTATATACAGAATATATATAGATCAGTTTATAAATAAAATGGAAATAGGTACATATTAGCATGTACTGTGTCTAATGTATATTTATCTAATATCTATAGTATATTATATTCATACTGTGATGAAATCAATAGAGAAAGAAATAACAAACAAATGATTTCTAAGCTCTTTTCTCCCAATTTCGTTCGTAGAGCATATGGTAATAGAAACAGAAAAGAGGAATTGTGTAAAATGATATTAATCTTCTAAAAATATTGAGTTCTTCTTATATCAGAGACATCAATGAAATAAGATATCTTACTGTCATACAAGATTCGTTCTCTTTATTTATTTTATTCCCTATTACTTTTTATTACACATCGAAATTGTCTATTGATTTTACTGAATGAATTTTTATACTTGTTTTCTTAGATAGGATGGATTTTACTTGGTAAAAGTCTACCATCAGACATTTTCTTTTTCCTATTCCATTCGAAAAGGAAGATAGAAATGAAGATGAAAAAAGAAACATTATTTTCTATTTCTTCCCTTATTTCCCACAAAAATAACTTTGGAAATTTTATTAATTATTTCAATTTAATTTTAGGTAACAAAATCCTTTTCCTCTTTGCCTTCCTCACTTCTCTTCTCTGTTCCTCTGTCTCTATCTATCTGTATTTTCTCTCTCTCTCTCTGTCTGTACTTTCCTACATTCTCTATTATGATAAGAAATTTGAGCCGACAGAAATTACTGTCAATGTGAGACAAATCTATATGAATATATACATTATACATATAGATATATACTAATATATATAGTATGTATTTATTTAAATGTAGCAGTGAATGAATGATAAACGAATTGTCTTAGTTTTATAAATGTAAATGCTTTCTTCTCTTCGCTTCCCGTTGAGGAGGTTTTTTCGCCAAGAAACTTGTCTAAACTTTGAAAGGTTTCTCAGTGACCTTTCCGTACTTCACTGCACATGTACGATTCCATCTTATTTCTAATTCTTAATGCTAGAAAACTATCTTATTTCTTGCCTTTCAAAAAGGAATAATTTTTATTAAAGGAAAAGAAATATAAACTGAGAAATGAAAATCTTCCTCCCCTTCTTGTCTTGCTTTGCCTACTCGCTTCATTCATCCATTGTTGTTTATATAGAAAGTTAATGTTAAGAGAAGAAAAGAAATGAGATAATTTAACAATAATTGTATTGTTATAATTATTCAAATAAACTAATTTAATTATCTTATAATTTTTTTCTATTCCAAGCAGACGAATAATTTAGTCATTTACCAGTTTAATACTACTTATTGGCAGAGTAAAACCCCTTAGTTTATCTCCATACAAGTCAATCAAATGTAACCTTTTTGACAGGAAGAAGAGTGTGATCAGCATTGTTAAAAGTAGAAGGAATTTCCAATTATTGCCCAGAATGATTTCTAGATGAATTAGAAGAGAGAGAGAGAAAAAATAAAGAATTCTTTTAAAGGTCAAACGATAAAATCATCTAAACTAAATAGAACAAAGATGATAATGTAATATTTTCAGTGTTACTCTTTCAACGAATTGATTGCGTATTCTCTAATAGATTTGCGTTGAACTTTGTTCGTATAGGTTTTATGAAGCTCATCAATAAAAACAACATTATCAATATTGCATGCATAACCCAAAGCTGGAAAACTTGGTATGTTTTCACTGCAATACTGCAAAATGTTCTCTTTGAGAATCTCTTTGTTGTTGTCTAAATAATTCTCCTTTAATTGAACAACAGCGCATAAACTCTCCCCCAAACGGTCGTCTGGTATTCCTACGACGATAACGTCTTTGATGCATTCAAAATGTATAATTTTCTCTTCTAGTTCCAATGGAAAAAATTTTACGCTGCCGACATTTATCTCATCGCAACGCCTTCCCGTCACTCTTGCCGAACCATCCTTTTCTATTACACCAAAATCTCCGGTATTATGCCATCCATTCAGTGGCACTACTTTACGCGTTGCCGACGGGTTGCCTCGATATTCTTTAAGGCATCCTCGATTTTTGACCCAAATATGACCTGTCTCTCCCCTTTCAACAACCTCTCCCATATCGTTTCTGATTGTAATCTGGCTGAAAGCTGGTAATTTCATTATAGGCTTAAGATTGTTTTTCATGAAAATTCGAAAGAACATTGCCCCAAATTCGACAGCTCCGTATACATCGATAAGTATAACATTTGGAAGTATGTCGAACAATCTAGATAAGAAGGTATTATTTAGAACTTGTCCTCCTGTTAGTATAAATTTTAACGTTCCATCCAACTCTTTTAACTCTTCTTTATGATTAAGTGAATCACAAAGTAAATAGCCCAAGAAGAAAGCCATTGGACATTTTTCCAATTTCAATACCTTTAAAGATTTTTTGCAGTTGGCTGTTTCTTGTGCGGTAAATTTGGAGAAAATTGATTTTCTACCTGTAACTATCGATGTTATTATAAATCCAAAACCACCTGTATAAGACATTTGCCGATCGACAAAAGAAGTATTCTGAAAGCTGTCATTCTCTATTACTTGACATATATACGACCATTGACTATGCTGAACTAATTTGGGCATGCCAGTCGTTCCGGATGTAAGAAGAACTATCAAATCATTTTCCGAATTAACTTTGGGTAAATTAATAGTGTCATCATTGTTTTCTTTGATTAAATCATTATAGAGAAGGAGTTTTTTTGCGGGTATATAATCAAATTTTTTTGCTTCTCCTATTAAAACAACAATGGGAATTTCCTCGATACTACTTGAAGGGATTTCCAACAAGTAGTTTTCCTCAATAACAAGAGCATCCGGTTTAATATGAGATAGTATACCTTCCAGTTGAATTTTATTCGAGACTAATACTGTATTTAGTCCGAGTCTTTGTAAACCCATGAAAGAAATTGGAAATTCTCGACAAGTTGGTACTAAAAGTAAGACAAGTTCGGATTTCTTTACGCTTCTTAGAAAGTTCTTGGCAAAATTTCTTGACGACTTACTCCATTCAGAGAAGGAGAGGCTCGATCTATTTATATTTCCGTCGTAGAAAACTATCGCTTCATCGTCGTCTTTATTTTCATTCTCCCTTTCATCCAGAAACTGATTTAAACTTTTAAAGCATTCAACAAAATTTTCCTTAACTGCCCCGCATAAGTAGGAAGACATGATCACTCTTTTGTTGATACCTATGGATATATCTAAAACGAGTGAAGTAGCCCACGTTCAAACGAATTTATCTCTGGTGAAAATAACATTTATATCAGCCTTGACCTTAATTCACTTTTTGTCGATATGGCCAATCGTATTCAGTAAATATCTAAAAGACTACTTGTATAAAATTTTTTTACAATCTGTCTATCTATTCAATAAAAATTTATCATTGATAATTTTTGTTGATTAAAATAGAAAGAAATAAAAGAATCGTACGATCCTCTTTGATTTTTAAAAAATAAAACAATTCTTTCTATTTTATCATTTCTATTGAAAATTAGAAAATGGGATTTTGTAAGAGACATTTATTGCTTTTTATAACATTTTTTTTGTCAATATTTAATGTAGATAAAAATACTTGAGACAGTTTTTCTTCTTTTTTTTTTATCATAGTCGCCTTTTGGCTATGATTCTAAAATTGGAATAAACTAGAGTACCATTTTCTTTTTTAGATGACTGCGTAAATGCAGTAGGAATATAGTTAAAAGATGTGCATTTAATAATACGATTCAACTATGCCGTGTATTTATGGAATTATGTAAACGAAACCTTGACATTGGAGTTTTATAGTTGTGCTTATTATATTTAAACAGTATATACTATAGTCATTGGTATTTTTAGTCAATCGAATAGGGGATCTGGAGGTGGGGGTGTCACGTTAGCAGTACATTCGGGAGCCTCTAGACTATATAAATCAAGCGTCATTAATCTCACTTGTATTTCATTAAGAATTAATTGGTGCAATTCTTCTCTTCCTTCGTCATCGACGATAATATTTTCTCTCCTTATTATACTCTCTAAACCATAGAACCACGCCTTACATATTTGATCATTTCTAAAGTGCATTACAAGTTCGATATAGCTACATTTCGCCTCTGCTGATCGGATCTTTATGGTGAAACTTTCCGATTTGAAGTTATTTACTTGCGAAATATCTTTCAAGTCAACTGTAAAACGAACGTAAAATGAATAAACATTATATATACAATATATATACAATAATTATTTAATATTGAGTACATTATAGATTAATCAATGATTAATAAAACTTACTACGAGGGGGTGTTTTATCACTGTTCGACGAACGGGGAGACTTTAAATGACTGATAACCTTTATAAGATACTGGCCGTTGTTTGACAATATCCAATGGCTTTTAGAATCTTTTATCCCTTAATTAGGCAAAGAAATAATAGAATATTGTTTAATTAGTTAATTATTTAATTAATTAATAAAATTTCTAGTTACCACTTAATTTCATATGACCAATACCATAATGCTTTTGCATTATCCTCACTCTGCGAGATTGAATAACATCTCCGCAATAGCTCTCTAGCTTAGCGTTCAATTCTCTAAGTTTATAGAGGAAATTATTGAATTATAATTAGTAGACTTAATTAGTATTCAAACAAAAAATTACAGAAAATTTTTGCTATCTCTTAGATTCTTATCTTTATCAATCGCCTCTCTTTTGTTATTATCATAGATTTCGGAGAAGGAAGCCTGTTGAAGATTTTCGTTTAAGCCATCAAAGTTAAAGATATCGGTTTTTTGTAAATTTGGAAGAACTTGATATAAAATAACGAATGACGCCGCTAGTTGAGCGTCTTTTTCGCTTTTTCCCAACATTTCCGAGAAAGTTTTCGGAAAAAGATTTGCAGCTGAACAGAACAATTCTTCAAAAGCAAATTCATTGAATAGAAAGGTTAACGGTGGAAGAGAGTCGATAGAGTACGAAAGAGCATCCTCTACTTATTTAAGAAATGAAATAATAATTATTATTATCATTAATTAAGAATTCGTATGCAAATTAAATATGCAAATATTTACTGTTCTGGTCTAATTTAAGGATCTTGAGAAGGTTTGTAACCAAACATTGGCTGACTTTAATAAATGAATACGTACTATTGATACAACTGAAAAAGAAATTCTTATCCTTTTCGTATAGATAATCTAAGCATCTTATAGTTAATTTTCCGTAGGAAAATGAAAAATCATCAATTGGATTATTCGGATTCTTTAAAAGAGAAATTAAAAAGATATTGATAGATAATTAAAAAGAAACAAGAACAATTCAAACCCTAAATCCATTCTGTTCAAGTTTATCTTTTAAACAACTATTTGAATAGGAGGAAGTTATTTTCTTGACAAATTTATCGACTGTTTGTAAATCTTCCTGTACAAATGAAGAGAAAAGTAAATTTATTTTTTTAGTTTGGTTATTGATTTTTTTGCCCCCGTCTACTACAAACAACGTTTTATTTTCTATATAAACATCTTTCGTGTTTGTTTTCTTTTTATTATTTTATTTTTTTTAGCTCAATGAATCGGCTTTTAAAAGTTGTAATTAATTTATTTCTTTGCTTTATTGTTGATCAATGGCAATGTATTGATTGGTGGAAAAATGTTAAATAAACCACAAATAGGCTTATTTAATTTTGACTTGAACGTGAAAAATTGTCTATAAGACATATGTACAGTCTAAAAATATTAGTATACAGTATATACTGTATATATAGACTGATATTTAAAACTAACTGTTACGGTGTGCGTTAGTTAATTGATTCTAGTAAAAGATGATATCTTTGCAACATGATTTGTAAAGAGAGGGAGGCAGGATTTCAATTCCTTTATTCATTAATCAGAATAAATATAGGATACTGTTGTTTATATACAGTATTTTTACATTTTATTAACCTGATTCTCCTTATTCATTGGTGATAGACTATGTAATCCTACCATAGCTTTTACGGCAACAATTTGTAGAGATTTTAACTGATTCATAATCTGAAACAGTAACGATGGCGTATTCATTGCGTCTCTTTCCAAATCTTTGATTGTACATTTAAAGAGCGGACACTCCAAAAAGATATCTCGAAGTTCGAACTTTAATTAAAAAGAAAGAATTAACTTGAACAGACGTTTTTATAAATGAACGAATATATAGATAAAAGAAAAGAAAAAAGAAAGATAAAAGACAGAAATCTATACTCAACCAGTAAGTCATTGTCCAGAAAATTTTCTGAAATATGACCGTTTAGTTTCTTCAACGCTTCTAGCTTTGTTCTAAGGTTTTCGCTGTGAAAGTGTTATAAGACTTTAATGGTTATCAAATAAACATAAAGAAAATTTGACTTTGTCTTTCTCTTACAGCTATATACTATATATAATTAGTATTTATACAGTCTATACTAATATATATATATATATTCGCTCTGTATTCTACTATTTCTGTATCAATTTAATGTTTCCTCCAACTGTGAATAATTAATCATTTCAAAGATAATTTTAGGGAAGGAAAGGAAGAGAGACTAGTTAAAAATGAATGTAGAAACTAATATAAGAGGACAAGTATTCTTCTTCTTCATCATTATCATCATCACCGCCATCGTCATCGTGTTCTTTTTTTATCCTTCAGCATTTTTCTCATTTATAAATAAATGAGAAAAACAAGAAATATAAAAGATAAATATAGGCAAAGAAAATGAGTAAATGAATACGGAAATGTCTTAAAAAAAGAAACAATATCTATCCTAGTTGTAAGACCTAAAGATTAAATCAATGCTTTAAACATTCCTTCATAATCTTTAATAAAATAATTTAATAACGGATTATTCTGATTATTTAAATAATATGCTTTAATATATTTTCGATAATTCTCCTCAGCTGTTGTATCTTAATATTAATAATAAAAAATAACAAAATATAGGATGCTCTACCTGCAAAGATCGGTTTTGACCTCCATATCTTCGAAGAGTGATGATTCGTAGCCGTTTCTTTGCTATTATCTCTTTTGTTTTTATTGGCTATAGAAAATTCTATAGAATGAGTTTAGTAAGGGAGTTGAAAATTTTCTCCCAAACTACGGTTCTGTACAAAGACAATATTGATTCAGCGCATAGCTTGCAACAAGTAATTTGGCACAGGCCAAAATTGTTAGGTTATTGGTTAATGCTGGCAAAAAATATAGAAAAATTTTGTAATTCCTACTAGGCCTATTCTACATCTTTTTGTATCTTAGTTTGTTATTTATCCGGTGTTGATTTTAATCAGAAAAAAGAATTTTCTAGTTGTGCAAATTAATAAGATTATTGTAATAGCAATAAATAGTCTTTTTCCGATATGTTCAATAGAGATAGAGATATCTCTTCCTCTTTCTCTTTCTCTTTCTCCTCCTCTTCCTCTTCCTCCTCCTCCTCCTCCTCCTCCTCCATCTTCTCCTTATCCTTTTCCTTCTCTTTCTCTTCATCATTTCCCTCTTAGTATCATTTATAAATTAAAAAAAATAAAAACCATTTTTTATAAATAGAATTTAAATATTTTATTTTCGTTTCAGATTTTTAACCAATTAACAAGAAAATTTCTAATTGTAAGCATCCTACAGACAAAATAGAACTCCTGAGTCCAAAGAATTGTCATAATCTGAGCATAAAAAGTTGTTTTATGTTAATGTCTAGCACCCTCATGAGCAGACCATTTTGTAATGTTTTCTGAAATTTTTTTTGTTTTATGTAGTATAACATCCAGCAGTTTTTTGTTTGTTTTATTATTAATATTTTGTTTGTTTGTAATTTTTATCTTGATTTCCCTTTCTGTTCCTTATCCGCATCTTCTTCATTTTCCTTTTTCAAAGAAGGTTACTTTATTTTAACAGAGTAGTTGACTTTCTTCCTCGTTTGAATGCGGACCATTTTCTGCGATACAACTCAAAAGTGGAGCCGTATCAACTATTGGTTCAGATGATCTTCTACCAAAATACGTGTTTGTTTCTGTCTTTTTACATTGCGGAGAACTATTCCGCCTTAATAATATATTTTCAATTGACGAAAAAATTTGTCGTCTCCTGCAGAAGTCACCCGTTTTTAAATTTTTCATTACTACGGCATGAGGTAAGCTGTGCCGCCTAGGAACATTAGCAGTTTGGTAAACTGGTGAATTATCTGGAAGACTGTGTCGTCGCTTACCAGTAACGGATCCATTGCAACGTGTAATGTCCCATTTAGGCAAAGGTTTGGCGGATGAAGTAGGAGCACTTTTCCTTCTATCTACTTTTGAATGAGGAGGTTTTAAACAGTTTGAGGTTTTCGTAGGAGCACTGTATCGTCTTCCACTATCTTCTTCTGGTTTTAAGAGATTACCTTCTTGACCTTTCTTTCTCCACATCTTTTCGTTGTAGGTGAGATTTCTGATCATTTGTCTAGACAACTTGCCGGGAGCCACATTAGACCACTCGATGAAGAGAGGACGACACATGAAGGTGATGAAATCTATATAGTAAATTTAATAATAAACCTAAATACAATATAATAGAGATATATACAGTATATTAAAATTTACAAACTTAAATTGATTGAAGGTTTAGTCTCTCTGTCTCGATCGTAAGTAATAGGAAGACCTAATTTCTTTTCAGAATCTCCTGCAAAATGCATATATAATATATAAAATATAATATTTTCCACTTATTTTCATTCACCTTCTTATTGGATGAATTGATAAAGAATTTAAACCTATTTACGTGACCGCAAACAATATTTCTAATCAATAAAATGTTACCTCCGGGCTAACTAATTATAGGATTATTATTATTTCTATCACTATTTCTTTAAACTTTTCCGTTGTTTTCTAGAAATATGTTTCTAGGAATTACAAGAATTGTCTTTAAATCTGGTAAAGAGTCTTTCTATTCTTCCGTTTGCAATATTCACTTCCGGAAGAGGAGAATGCGCAATACAAAAATCCTAGAATAATATGGACAATGGCGAAAGAGATTGGTGGGAAAGAAAGAAAGAATGAAAGACAAGTGAGTAGAACGGAAGAGAAAAAAAAGTATAGTATTAAAGGAGATAACATGAATAAATTCTATCTCTAATGGCCAAATAAGCTAGAATAAGCTGTTAGATGGATTGGACAGCTGAAACGAGGGTAAGGAACAATCCACTGAAAGGTTAACTGGTCACAATGATTGATTTTTTCATGCCGACCTTTTAATTTGAAAACTTTCAAGGTCTCGATAATAAAAGAAAAAGAATAAGATAAATAAAAGAAATTGTTAGAGAGTTTTTTCAATTACGAATTATCACCAGGCTTTTATTTAATGGGAATCCTAAATGTCTAATTATAGAAAATCGTCCGCTAGGAGGCGCATGTGTTACTCGAAGAGTTTTTTCTTTCTTAAGCGAGCTCGCGCGCCCGCTCGCTAAACTTTAGAAGTAAAAAACAATCGAACCTTGTAACCAGAATTCATCACACACTCTGTCAGCCCATCTTTGAGCAATCTTCCAAGGTTTACAAGGATTGCCTATATCGGCACACTTAAGCGCCATCTGCAGGACAAGAATTCGGTGCTGAGTATTGCGCCAATCAATGGGTATACATTTCCTAGAAAGAGTCAAAATTTTTGGCTGTTTTGTTACATCAGTAGCTAGAATCATCATTTTCATTAAATCCACAACAAAAGAAAATTGTTCGTTATTTAAGTTATTTAGCATGCCACTTTGGCTTATTGTGCCGACGCCCATGCGCCAATGGTGCTCTTCCAAAATTGAAGAAGATCCATATAATGTAGCTAGGGGGCTCTTAGTAGCAATTAAAAAAGCCTGATTTACACCAGGATGATCGAGATCGTGAGTGAATGCTGCTAAAATTACGGCCAACTTTTCCAATGAATTTAAGTTGGGCTCAAGAGCTTGAAGACAACAATGTGATGCTTGAGCAACATCGGCAGCATGAGTGCTATTGTGATATGGATTTGTAGGTTTGTAACCAGTTTCTAACAGACAAGCAAACTTCATGAGATTAACTATGTCAATTTGGAAGGTTGATATGAGCTGATGATAGTGGAAGAGGTGGAGGGCCATTGCCATTGTTGTTCTACCTGCAAGGGGTATACAAAGTTTTTGAGCTCTAGTTTTTTTAAATTGTCACGAACAATTATGACGGCACGAAATCATGATTAGGATTAATGATGAATGACTTTTTTTTTCAGGATTTTCTCTTTTTTTCGCTCTATCCTTACATCCCTTTCAAAACCAAGTAATCTTAATTCTACAGTAACATTATCACTATTTAAATAACCTATTCTAGTAATAAAACAGATAGCAAAAAGTATGATAATTATGGTAATTAAAATGACATAAATGATAAAGCTAATATAATAAAGCTTATGGTAATATCATAAAGATAGGACAATGAAATATTATAATAATGATAACAAATATATAAAAAGAAAAGTCAATAGTCTATAAAAAAAATTATCTGAGGTATTAAACATGAAAAACAACAAGGAAAATTGATAATTATGCTTTAAGAGTAAAATTGAATATGTCTCTCTCTCTCTCTCTCTCTCTCCACCTATCTATCTATCTATCTTTCCCCTTCCTCCTTCTCCCCAGCTCTTTTCCCTTTCGTTCTCTTCCGTTCCCTGTAATTTTACTTTCTAGTTTTTCTTTGCAGATCGCTCTGTTTACTTTACAAAGTTATTTAGCTATTAGAAAAGTAATCAAACCGATCCATTGGCTGTTTAGTTGAAAGATTTTTATGCATTGATGCCTTTCCTCTTTACTAAGCGCCCCCTAGATCTACTACTCTGTCCTACAATCTGAATCCTTCTGGAATGACTGACAAAATATATACATTACTCGATAAATTAACCTATATATATAAATATATATATATATATATATATTTGATATAAGTGAAACTCGTGCTTCTTTTAGCCAAGAATACACTTGGGCCTATAATGCTAAGGGCAACTAATTCCAATATATTTTCCATAAACTTCTTTGCAAATATTTAATGAAAATGGAAGCAATAGCAAGATCTTAAAATGCCAATAAAACAAATGAGCAGATGCGCCTGGGTTACTAATTTAATCAAATAGGCCTAAGCATCCACATTCTTCTTTCCAACCTACTATTTTCAGCTGTCTATATATTGAAGGTTACTTTTCATTGACATAAAAAAAGAGTCTTTACAAAATCCGTACACCATAATACCATTTAGAAGAAAAATTTTTTGCAGTTGACCTATTTTTTTCCCACTTACCGTTTGAGAACTGGTCGAGCACAAAAATATCGAAATTCCAATCGTCTATACCGGCAAGAAGGCGCTACAAATGAGAAACAGGGAATCGATTAATGGTGCTAATTAATTTTTTTTTTTTTTTTGAGGTTCAGTGCAAAGTGTTCGTCATCTTTAATTTCTCCTCCAAGTGGCTTTCATCCTAACTGAAGGACAAGATGGTTCTTATTTCCTCTTTATATATAAATAATTTTGTTTGCAAGTATCATTTAGTGAATCTTATACAGTCTATAATCATTTTAAAAGAACTGCTTTAAAGTAAAAATGTATTTATTATAAACATTGAAAACTTTAATTTAACTTGGATTAAATAATTAAAGAAGAATAAAGACTGATTAGCGTTGTTACAAGAATTTCTTATTTATTTTTAATACTAGTATTCTTCATATCTCCCGTCTCACCTTTCAACTTAAATTGAACAAACAATCTGTTTAAATATTATCAGGCCTGGTTTGTAGTCGTATTTAATAAGCGTAACATGACCGTAGATGAAAGAGGAAATACTTTCTTTCCTATTAATTTTTACATGGCGTATTGATGAACAAAGGGCTTTTCTATCTCTCTCTCTCTCCCTTCGTCTCTCCTACACACACATACATATTTACCCTTATAACTATACGAAACAATTACTGGAGGCTAGTACAACTTTAAGAGGGCACATCTTACACATACAGCAAAGCTCTATCTATAGACTACGTATTATATGATACAATAATAGCAGCAATGTACAGACTATTTTTAAATATACTTATTAGATATACATACATAGAAAATCCTTTAGACAAGCTATACATAGAAATTGAATTGTGTTTACTCTATATATATTTTCTTTATATTCTATCTCCTCTATATGCGAACAAATTTCTCTAGATAAATATATTCCATACACATGCGTACACAACTAACAACAATGATAACAATCTCAATAATAGACTTTACTCTGCCGCATAAAGGCAGAAAGCACCCTAATAGGCGTCTTTTCCTAGAATTTTTCTACTCTAATTTTTCTTACTTTGACCAAGGGACGTGCATTTTAGTGCCTCGAAGACGTCTCCTGGGATATTTGCACTATATCCAATAATTAGAAGAGTCTAGTTAAATTTCAGATTTTTGCAGTACGGTTTACCCTAACGCTAAAGATTTGGCGTCCGTTTTAAAGATATATAGATATGTATCAACTATATCCTTTGAAAATATTCAACTTAACCTATTGCAAGTCAAAACATATAATAATATTTTATTCAATATCCTTTCTCTTTCTTTCATTTCTCTTTTAACTCTGCCTACTCCTTAATTACAACTGGATTTTCGATCGTATAATTAACTTTTCAATTTCTTATCCAACTTTTTCTTTTCTCTTTTTACTTCAAGTCTAATGATAAATAAATTTGTCAAAAGCTTAATATTAATCTCAACGTTGATTCTTTCTTTTCATTGCATTTTCAGTCTCTCTCTCTCTCTCTCTCTTATTCGTCTATCTGTCTGTCTTTGTCTCTCAGTTTTCTCTTTTTTCATTGCAACTTACTTGCTCCCGTTAATTCCTTTCCTTTTATTTCCCTTTGTATTCTGCTTTTGTATTATCGCTATTCTAATATTCAAATATACTGATCTAGTTTACAGAAAAGGATGATTATTGATTTTTTTCCCATTTCCTTTGTACTTCGTATGCCATTTTTAACCCTCGTCGGTTCCGAGTGCCAGTTTCTTCTCAAAATACTTCCCAACAGGTAGTAGTTGACACTTGATACATTCTCGAATATGTAGACTTTGCTAGCTTATATCCGACTAATAGGTATAAAGCCATTTTTCTTCTTGTACAAAGGTTTCAGACAGGCCTCTCTAGTTTTCAGCCTTGAAAGGTCACATCCACATGGTTTAGAAATGATAAAAGTTTTCCATAAAGCAGACAATCGCAAGGGCAAAAGATAATTCGATATAGATTCTTTTTCTCACGCTTCTATCCTCCTACGTAGAAACGTTGATACACAGGATGGAAACTTGCTGACAGACAAACAGATACGCACACTTATCAACACGCGCGTGAACGTGGTTTATCCTTCCATTTAGCCTTTATCAAATGAGACTTACGCCTTTAAACATAGCCCTACTGCCCTTTAATTAGCGATGAAAATATCTGATTGGCTTACTTAACACTTTATACAATTAATTGACTGCGCTTCATTTTTTGCAGGTCATGTTAATTGACTGCAGCACTATGTAATCTAAAGAGATACTTCACTCTTGAAGATGTTTGATGAGAAATCAGTTTGCACTGAACCGGAACCGTAAAAAAATAGAATAAGCTTATTTACTTGAGCTTGTTCAGGATAAATTTGATCAATAACCACAGACGAAACCGGCCGTTTCGGAAACCATTTCCGATCGCTTGCAGACCTGCAGAAATTGCACGGTCGGGAGGAGAGAAAATCTGTAGAGAAAATTAGGCCTAATTATTTTTTGTCGCTTAGCAACGAAAAAAATCCGCTTAACCTTCGCTTATAACGATGGAGATGCGGCGTTCATTTGACAAGTCATCTGGAAAAAAATAACGGTTTAGAGCCTTGACCTAGATTTATTCGAGGTAGAATTATAAAGTAAAGTGCTTCAAACCCCATCATAATCCTACTTTTATATGTATATATATATATATATATATTAGTATACATAAATACTTGATTAACAGTGATAATTACATAAGAATAAATACAGGTCGCCTATCGACAAGTGTATATAATCAATATCAGAGTTAACTATATTCAAAGGTTGACCACTCCAAAGGCTAGAAAGATCCGCAATAGTGCCCCTTTTCATGACGAGATAATGAAATATACTTTAGCCGGACACGACGTTAAGTTAAATAGGCCTCAAAGCAATGACGTCAATTCGTTGGCGATTACTGGGGTCGAAAAGGGCGGATAATGAAGATTAATTAGAATAGACAACATCAGAGGAGAATAATGAGAGTGTGGAAACTGGTATAAATTTCTTGCTCTTATGAAAAGGAAATGTTTATTGAGTGGTCGTCTCGACATTTCTTTCTTTTAATCTAGAATTCTTCAAATGGAGGATTATTTATAAACATTAGCCACTTACAGATATATACAATTTAACATAAGAGCCTCCTCCTTTGGTGTTTGTTTGGCCAACGAAAAAAGAAAAAAACTTTACATCAAAACTAATAAAAAATTTTTTAAATTAATATATTAATTTTTTCATCTTTAATATCAATATATATAATTTTTTTTCTCCTTTTTCAACCTTCAATTAATTAACCTACGTACACTTTGACGTCTAATAAATAGTTTATTATTTTTTTTTACCTTTAGAGAGAAACAATAGAAGAAGAGAGATGGGAACAGAGAGATAAAGAGAGAGAGAGAGAGAGATAGACAGATAGATAGATAGACGTAAAGTCGAAAGAGGAGTGAGAGCGAGAGAAAGAGAGACTGAAAATGCAATGAATAGAAAGAATATGCCTTTCTGCTCGTTCTTTACTCTTTCTCCCTCTCCTCTCTCTCCCAATTTGTCTCTCTCTACTCTCAACATAAAAAGCAAATCAAGAGAATAAAAACCAACAGATTAGCAATATTTTGGAAGGAAATTATCCGTTAAATAGTTTGAAATAATCGAAAACATTAAAGTACTCTTAAATAACAGATGTTTGTTAGAAAATATAAAGAAAAGTTAATTTAATATGTTACATAAAAAAAATAAAATATGTCTACTTTAATACATATAAATACATATATACATACATACTCTATATATACACACTCTATATTAAT